TAGAAAATCAGAGTTTGTGGCAAGGACTCAATTCCTTTATTTCCCTAAAGAGATATTAAGCGTTCCCCTTTATGCAATGATGACAATAACATCGAATGAAGGATAGAGAAGTTTTAGCCTTCTAAAGAGAATACTTCATTACACAAGATGTACTATGACGAGAGCAGACTTAACGATCTTGCACTTATGGCTCACTACTGAGAAAATCATTGAAATGTTTGTGCAAGCAAATCACAGAAAATTGAAGCTTAAAAGAGTTGGTGAATATGTAGATGGAGTATATTCTATCTGAAAATTTTAGAAGAAATTTCGTTTATTATTGAGAAAATATGATTTTTTAATGATGCTGTGATTATTGATTTAATTAGCTGTGATGGAGTTAAGTGAAAAATTTATAAATTTAAAAAGTTAAAATTAGTTTTTCGAGCAAAGGAATAATTTTTAGACTCTATAAGGTTAGTAACACCCAAAAATGTAGTCTTTTTGATGTATTTTTATGGTGTTAATTGACTTTTTGAACAAAACAATTCCAGGGGGGAAATCTTGCCACCTCCCTGGCTAAAATCCTGTGTACGCGCCTGAGTGTGATCGTATTTCTTTGGGGTGGTAAAATCTAGATAATTGAAAATAAGTATTGATAATTAAACACAAGATTTTATACTGCAGTGCGTTCCACTTCAGTTCTTTGGTCATGTTAATAAAAGTATGACCAAATTTTGCATCGTGAAAAAGTGCACAAACAATTCTTGTAAAAATGCGAGTTTTTTCAAAATACCAAAACATTGCGCATGGCTAGACCTTTTAAGGTTGGGAGACTCCACCATATATCTCTCAAGTTGTATTTCCTCAAACCATTTTAAAGGAGATATTAGTCAGGGGAAAAAAACCAAGTTTTTTCAAAATACCAAAACATTGCGCATGGCTAGACCTTTTAAGGTTGGGAGACTCCACCATATATCTCTCAAGTTGTATTTGCTCAAACCATTTTAAAGAAGGAGATATTAGTCAGGGGAAAAAAACCAAGTTTGAAGAAATATGCAACACCATTGCTCTCAACTTTAGGTGAGTATAAAAATAAATTTACTGTATTGTTTAATTTATAATGTTTTAATATTTAACATAATTTAAAAAAAGAAGTCGCAATTAAAGATGCGTGCGCATCGTTTTTTCAGTTCATTTGTTAACTACCCAGCCAGTTTGTGTTTTTTTTCAGAACTTCAGTAAAAGTTTGAATTTGTTTGTTCACAGAATAACAGGCGCGCAACTAGGGGGTGGCAAGAACCCCCCTCCCCCTTAAGAATAGTTGAAGAGAAGAATAAAAATGTTTGAAATAAGAATGTTATTCAAGTTTTAAGCTAAAGGCATGCCTATAGAAACTTAATAATTTTGACAGAACTTTTAGCTAATAAATTGAAAACCTACAAATTTGAAAATTGTCAAATGTTTGCAGTCAACATCCTCGAATTCTCTTTGAATAAAGAAAAAAAATCTAAAAATTTGTCAATTTCATAAAACCCCCCAAGAAATACGATCACTCTATATACAAGTGTACTGTGTGCGTAAACATATCGTGATGTAACATCTGAGGTTGGCTTTACCTTTTCGTTTTATTACTCTATGGTTCTGAGCACTGATTATTGAAATTCCCATGTATAGATAAATAAATAAACATAGATAGCTTATCACGCAAAATCACCAAGAATTGAACAGTCCGCGAACAATATTTCATTGAGCAATATATAATATTGACGAGAACTGAAGAAGGACATGAGAAGGACTAAATTTCTCTCTACAGAACTTATGTACACCACAAGTACTCAATGACATAAGAACAGCCAATGTTTACAACCGACCTAGTAAATCTATATAATAGGAATATCTTTAAAACCTTTTTGTACATTTATATCTTTCAAGATGAAAAATGTCGTCTTATGCGCAATCTATCTTTATCTATGGTAATGGTTCTGAACCAAGGTTACTAAAATTTCCAAATTCTGAACCAGGTTTGATAAAATTTACAGGTCCTTCTCCTAAATCAACATCAAATAAAATTCCGAAAAATCTAGTACTATGAATATTCCCTTTTTGTTGGGTCTACTTCATATATCTACCTGTGTAGACAAAAGATGAGATTAATTTCATTGTCCTCGGATCCCTGGGAACCTGAGATTCAAGGATTTAATTTGCAAAATCTTAACAAAAATCTGCAATGTTGTTTTGGTCAAAATTGAAAAATCCAGGAGAAAATGTCAACTTTTTGCAAAAGTGAACGTTCATGGCATTTAATGCAAGTACACGGCTTGTGTGGGTAAACTGCTGGGTGGCGGTTAGCTAGGCTTTTATCAAATTTTAAACAATTTAATCTAAGTCAGCTTTCAAAGAATAAGATCAAAAGGACATATTAAGTTTTATCAGATATATTTCAATTTTCGATTCAGGGTTTCGATTAAATTTGTGTTTACTCCAACCCTATTCTCCGGCATAGGTTTTATACTGACAGGAGAACCAAGCAGAGCGGAACGGATTCATTTCTTTTTTTTGTATTTTAATCCTAGTGGAACTTGTGATGTGAGATAAGGTTCGGTAAAAATCCAAGTTTTTATAAATAGGTTCGAACAAAACAAGACAGAGCTCTCCTAACTTTGCTTTAATTAAATACGTTCTTGTAGTATTGCAGCTTACTATATATGGAGGAATAGGAGAGTATATATAGAGACCTACTATAGGAGAGGAAGGATATTCAATTCATCCTTTTTAAACTTGAACTTATTTCATTTAAATTTTGAACCCTAGAATATTTATTACGCATTTATAACAGCTAGGTGTGTCAATAAACATGGGAATTAATTAATCGACATCTTGAAAATCGTCTAATCTTATATACATGTACGACATTTGATGAATTCTTTCGATGCACATGGCTCATTTAGGGTAACATGAAACATAATGTAGATACAATAAAAACTCAAATCATGTATTGAATACTTTTTTATTATACATATATATAAATATATATGTATATAGATTTTTTACAATTTGTACAAATATATGTTTTATACAAACCGTGATTCTTTTGAATGAGAGAATGTTTTGTGAACCGATCTATTATACATCATATACATTGTATGTTTTGTGAACCGATCTATTATACATCATATACATTGTATGTCAAACCAAGTTCATACGTCTTAAAAGGATTCAAAAATGTTGATTTTAACCAGTTAGAGATAAGGAAATATAATATATCTCATTTTTCAACAGTTGAAATTTGTGTTTTGAGCGCAAAAAGTTCTTCAAAAGTTTTTTGTTGATATTTTGAATCTGCGGATCTACATATTTTAGCGGATTCGGATCCTAAGCACTGCTTGGAATTACGATTCAGTCCCTTTAATTCCCATTTTTACTGGAATACTCTTGTATAAGGATAATTATTGAATTATGATCTGAGCTGGGAACTTTAGCACGGGAAACCTTTAATTCCGACTGCTTAATCCGAATATCCAATGTGGACACTTTTAATTTCTTTTGGATATAGTACAGAAAAATCAAAAACCGGTTTTTCTAAATTAGGGAGTCCCTCCCGTTTCTGTATATTAATCTTAAATGGCGGGCAAAATTTCAAATTTCCCGGCTTCTGATACCCGACTCTCTGATTGGTTGAATTTTACACACTTTTCAGGGATACAAGCACAAGATAATGTTAGTCTTGAGATTAAGAAAAAGAGAGGATCAAGCATTGATCTCGATATCCACCATTCTAAAATTTCCAGCTCTGGTCTTGTTAGAATTTAAGGATTGTTACTGCAACTAGACAGAGAGAGAAGGTCAAATTAATGCAACATTACATTTCTGTTCTTCTCTACAGCTCTTCAATAAGAGAAGTTAAAATTGAAAATATATAAGATCTGAGCCCATTCTCTCCATAGAAAGTGGTCGTGTATTTCACGTACTTTGGGGGACGATATGTTGGCCGCTAGATATCTCGTGCTAAATTCTTATCTGATAGATAGATATTTCTCTGTACATTTGACGTCCAATATAGGAGACGTCAAGTTGTCGACCAATGCAATGTAGTTTATGGAAGGAACGGCCTCAGACGTGCAAATTACTTTGGTTTGACGTGTTGTGGGATTCTTAAATAAAAAGGATTACTTTCTCAGTTTTGGAATGAGAGGATGATCATATCTATATATAAATTTGGCTTGTCTGTTTGTCTGTTTGTTTGTTTGTTTGTATCCAATAAACGTCAAAACGGCTGAACCGATCGGGCCCAAATTTTTTGTGGGACATCTAGGGACCCAAGGGAAGGTTTATGAAAAATCAAAATTTCAAATATTTGTCTCTATCAAAATTCGATCGTCATTAAATTTTTAAAAATTTTGAAAATCCGCGAAATTTTTTGTAAAAATCCGCGAATTATTTTTGTTTTGTTTTACGATGTACACAAAGAGAACATGTTCACAACTAATTTAGAAGATGGGCGCGAAGCGCCCTCTAAGGCTAGAAAGAAGGGCGCGAAGCGCATTGAATTTCTAGTAATATTGAAAATGCTTAGCTTAGAGTTTCTTGTCATTTATCTGCAGCTTAAGTAATGAATAAAAATAGGACTGGTTAATGTTTGTAAGAAGAAATTCTAGATTTCTTGTGTTTTTCCTCAAGGAATAATATGACCTCACATTGTGTTCAGGGTTGACCAATGATATTACGTATTTGGTCGGGAACCCCCTCTGATTAAAAGAGTAAGAATGTCTAAACTCTAACTCTAGAATCAGAGTGAATTTGAAATTTGAAGTAATAAGTGACAGAGTAAAATTTGAACAAATACATTGTCCTATTTCTAAAGAAAACTTTTCCTTAACATTCATAATAAAACTGACTGCCGTTTTTCCGGAGTTTGAATTCAAATACCTTTAAACACAAATTCCTTCAGACACTAATTCTTAATTTTTAGAAATACTTATCGCTTACTTTGTCGAGAAATAATAATTTAAAGCAAAAACTTGAAAAAAATGCGGTTTATTGTTATTAATAATAATTAACATAATTAAACTTTTACAGCGAAGGCTGGTAACAATTTGTATCGGATTTCTCCAAGCTTGACGTTCAAAAGATAAGTTTTAGGGAGAACTGAACCAAGGCAACAAAAAAACTTAGCCCGTGGATATTCTCGCTCAAATTGAGCTGGAAACTTTGAAATTTTTACAAGAAGTGTTGGAAGTGAACAAATCTAATTCAACTGATTCTCGCATTTCATTATTTCAGACCTTAGAACTTAAAAATTCGGCCAACAAAATTAATCTGGATTCCTAAATTCATTAGTTTCAACTATGGTTAACGTGTTAAACTAAGCAGCTTAACTCCATCTAATTCATAAGTTACCGGCTCAAATCGAATATCTGTATAAAATTAGGAAACATTTCGAAACATATTTTCAAATGTTCTGTTGACTGAGAACAGAAAATTTAACGTCTGATCTGTGTAAATTTTTATAAAAAGGTATCAAAGGTATATCAAACAAATAATCACAATTTTAAACTGATCGAGAAAATTACAATGTATACGTAAATCATTATTATTTCCAGATCTTTATTTTATTTAGTGATAATCTGAGAAATAAGGAAATAACAGGAAAATTAACACAACGAATTATGCGTTAAACATTTAACTTATTGTTAAGTAAATTGACAAATTTCATCTTATAGGAAGTTTGATAATTTTTTTAATGTTTGTCTCATATGTTGTGAGTAGAAGATTATTAAGGTTTACTATTATCAAACATTTCGGGTTAAGGTAACATACATAATAAAAAAGCATGGCATGCAAAGGGAAAACCTTAAAAAGTCCGGTTTGTGACAAATTTAAGGACCAGCCCTTAAAACTTCTGTGGCTCATAATGTGCATTGTCACCAGGAAAAAATGAGCTAAATGAGCTAATCCCAAAAACATAAGTTTAACACTTAGAACATGATTATCGAATTGCGACATATTCTATATTCAAAATAGCTGTCAGTAACGCAATCTTATGTATTTGGGATTAAAGAACTCAGTTTCATTTGCCATACATATTTTTCTATGATTTCACTTGCTATAAATACTTTTGCCATAATTATCTTTTTTTTCAGAGTAAAATTTAAACTTTTTTTGTAGAAAGAGCCAAAAAACTAGAAAAATTGAGTTCCAAATGGAGGACCCTTTATGACCTTCGAAACTACTAGTAATGGTAAACCCATAGGTTGGCACAGCAAAATCTAAACATCTACGTTGCCATAATTCCTCATATATAAATATGATGTATCGGTAATTGTAATTTTAATTATAATTAGTTTTAATTATGTCCTGTGTAAATATGGCTAACGTATTTATGGCAAACATATTATGGAAAATGAAACGGAGCTATAAGATATCATTATTGGACTGTTTCTTGATAATAACGAATAGTTAATTATGGAGTAAAATACTGGTTTAATATATTTAGTTTCGGTATATTTGTATTGTATATATTGATATAAACTCCAACCAACTGTATGTTTTGAATATTTACTTTTTACGACAAGAGAATATAATTTCCAGGCCTGGTTTAAATGTTCTCAGTTACTCCGAACCTCTATCACTTGACAGGGTTGAGATAGCTCTTCTCTCTTCGATCAACTCCTGGTCTATAAACTTATCCACGGAAGGATGGGTTGTATCTATCAGGGTTAATTCCACAACACACTCGAAATCGTCTCCGATGCTTGGACTTACTTTCTTGACGAGTGAGACAAACTCCTGGTCCGCAACCCGGTTGCTGAACCATACTGTGTCCTCCGGCCTCCAATCAACCTCCACGGGAAGAATATTCGCCAGCTTAGCGTTGATTGCTTGCAGAGGAAGGTTTCTAAACTGCTTCCATAAAGGTTGAATATCGGAGATATTTATCATAGATAAATCTCCGTAGTCTACTAATCGTACAGCCGCACTATTTTGATCAATGAGTTTGGTTATCCTGACCCTGTACCAATATCCATCCGAATGTCGGCCTGCTAGATATTCACCCTCAGATAAACTCTCCAATGTCACCTCCCTAAGGTTGGTCTCTGTTGTGTAGAACGAGTCCATCTCCGACATTAGAGCTTGCAAGTTCTCCATCTCGTTGTAGGGTTGAACTATAAAGTTGGACGGAGAAACAGCACATGTGACCTTAACGTCGAAATGCTCTCCTTCAGCAGGAATAGAAGGAGAGGTGAGAGGTTTAAGGTTAGATAAATCTCCGGGTACTTGGTTCAATGCGTCAGACACGGCATCTATTTCACTGGATAGCTCTGGGATAGGCTTCTCGATGCCATTGGTTGCTACCTTAGCGGGCGAGGAAAGTGCCGAACTTTCCGCTGATCTTGCTGGAAGTGCGGGGAAAATGTCAAACTCCGTAGAAAGATCAAAATTGATTGAACCCTGGTTACTTTCCGTCTGGTTGAGCTCTACCTCAGGAAAATCCGTCTCCCCGCCTAGAACCTTGAGTTTAACCAGTTGGTTCTCCGGAACTAGTTCACGTAGTGCCTTGGTTGCTCCTTCGCTCCAGGTATATCCCTCAGGAGGAACACCATGAAGTTTGCATTTCAGGGCTAGTCGAGGCAGGTCAGCCAGAGACTCGTTCAAGTTGGACAGATTATAAATCTCCGACGGATCAACTAGGGAAGTGTTCCCAAAATCTACGAAAAGAACCTCGTATTTGTCGTTCTTTTTATCTGGAGATACAAGTTCGGCTCGGTATAGTTTACCGTCTTCTGAGAATTTAGCAAGATAAAGTTGGTTCATTCCTATAATTCCAGAAGGTCCGGAGCTAGAAACTTTGTCCGCAATTTCATTGATGAGTTTCTCTATTGCTGAGTACGAATTTGCTTCCTTCTGTACATAAATATCACCTGTTGCTGATATATGAGAAATACAAACTTGTATCTCTTCTCCTCCTGGCAACGGAAGACGACATTGATAGTCCTCTGATATGACAAGTTCTATTAGTTTCTGGTTAATATTAACATCAACATCGTCGCTGGAAGTATCAAAAAGCACCATTCGAGGTTTAAGACTTGCCTTGTAGGCCGAGGCTAGTTGACTTCGATTGTCCACCTTCGCAACCAAAGATTTCCCCAACAAATGTTCATTTAGACGCGCCACAATATTATCGTTATATTCATAATCCTCGAGTCCAGAGAGGGTAATATTGATTGCTTGGGCAGATAACTCCAGGAATTTAGGAGCTATCTCCCTGAGATCCTCGACTGGTATAGTATCTTGATCTCCATGGTCCAGAAAGTAGCAAGTGCAGAGAATGCCGCGAAGTTCTACAACCTTGACACGATGCCAGTCTGAGGAAACGTATGCCGCGTAGAGCTTACCTATCTCCGGCTTCTGAACTCCAGGTATTGAGGATTTGTCATAGTAATGGAGATCCATGGTGGCACTTAATTCATCAAACCTCTCAGAGTACTCGGCTCCAATGAGTCGAACACTAACGTTAGTTGTTGATCTAATATACAGGACGTAAACATCCCAGATATCTTCTACCGGATACTCCAGGTTAGCAGGAGGAACCTGAGCTCCGACTTGAACCACCTCCGGAGATAATTCCTTCTTTGGATGAGACGCAAGAGCAGGGAACACGATATACCGTCCTGAGCCCAGGACAGGACAGTCCACCCTGATCTTATTGAGAGCCCCCGCCTCCTGATACCAGAGACTCGGTAACTTCTCCGTAAACTTTGCTTGATACTCTTTCTCAACCTGGGTGGACCAAACTCCGTTATGTCGGTTTCCTAGCAACTCTGCAACTCGGTCGGAGTAAAGTTTAGGATCCGTTGTCTCCGTACTGCTCCCTGAGTCTCCACCTGTCAGTATACCCATCTTCTTTACAACCTCAGCTGCTACAGCTTCCTCTGCCTCAGCCTAGATAATACAAGTAAATATTATCATAAAAATCATTGAAAATCAGAAAATGTCGGGGTATACTAATTCAATTTATTTTCTATGCAAATCTTACCCGTGTAGAGTAGGTTTGAGGATATGTTTTGAACTGAGTTCCCTCCACGGTTACAGTTGCCATAAACTTCTCCTTTCCTTTAGTTCCAACAGCTGCAACCTTGTATGGAACTTCGCCCAGGTTGTTCTGATTGAAATATTTCTCAAGATCCTCCTTATAGTTGGTCTGAGGTTTGGAGTTTTGTCTATTCTGCTGAGGCCTAGGAGGAGATTTGATCTGTTTACTGGAAGGATATCCCTTGGGACCTGGATTATAGCTGCCAGGTGATCTAGGTCCTACTCCTCTACCGTAGTTAGCCCGAGGTTCTCTCAAGGGAGTTCTTTCAACACTGTTGAATCTATTATTTCCTCTCATCATACCTCCTCGCATCATTCCACCTCTGTTATATCCTGGACCTCCCCCACCCCCTCTACCCATACCTCTAGGCGGTCCTTGACCTCCTCCACGACCAAATGGTCGGATGTTTGGTGGAAAACGACCTCTTCCGCCTGGAACATATTGCTGTTGCTGCTGGGGCGGGTTCCAATGTGTTGAGGTTTGAAGAGGTCTCCGGGTAGGACGGTTTACAGGCAGACGTTTCTTAACTTTAGATCTCTCGAGAAGATCTTGCATGTGTCGTGTAGATTCGTCTGCTACACTTGTAACCATAACTTCACCCTTATTGTTCCTGGTGGTTCTACAATAGTCCGGAATACTTTTAAGAAAATTGTTTAATGAATCGTATCCTAGTCTCCGGTAAGGGATTCCTTCGCCAACCATATTTTTGTAATCAGAGTACAATCTCTCCGCTGTTGTTCCACCTGCAAACAAAACAGTGTAGGACAGAGTACAACAATTATAAATATGGCGATTAATGTTTTTTTTTATAATTTGGGATATTTAGTGAGCACAATGGTTTAACTCTAGGTTACTTTTACATGTGAGCAGGATGATTTTACTCTCTAAGTTACCTTTACATGTGAGCAGGATGGTGTAACTCAAGGATACCTTTACATGTGAGCAGGATAGTTTAACTCTAGGTTACCTTTACATGTATGGTTTACTCTAGGTTACTTTAAATGTGAGCAGGATTGCTTAACTCTAGGTTACCTTTACATGTGAGCAGGATAGTTTAACTCTAGGTTACCTTTACATGAGAGCAGGATGGTTTACTCTAGGTTACTTTAAATGTGAGCAGGATTGCTTAACTCTAGGTTACCTTTACATGTGAGCAGGATGGCTTAACTCTAGGTTACCTTTACATGAGAGCAGGATGGTTTACTCTAGCTTACCTTAACATGTGAGCAGGATTGCTTAACTCTAGGTTACCTTTACATGTGAGCAGGATGGCTTAACTCTAGGTTAACTTTACATGAGAGCAGGATGGTTTACTCTAGGTTACCTTAACATGTGAGCAGGATTGCTTAACTCTAAGGTTACCTTTTCATTTGACCAGGATGGTTTGACTCTAGGTTACCTTTACATTTGACCAGGATGGTTTAACTCTAGGTTACCTTTACATGTGAGCAGGATTGCTTAACTCTAGGTTACCTTTACATGTGAGCAGGATTGACCTGATCATCTTACAGGTCTGCTCCTGGAGAAAGGACGCCTCGTCATTCATCCTGTCTGAAATATATTGATAAAATTAAGAAATGCAACAAAACATAAATACTCCGTTTTCCCCAACATAAAGAAGAACTAGGACTAAACAATGAATAAATGCAATAAAACATAAGTATCTATTTTACAATTATAAATTAATAAATTTACTGGGACTTTTTCAGAACACCGCCGCGTTAATAAGTTTAACATCATTGCTTTCACTATTTTTTACATTTTTGAAACGAGATTGATATTTCAAACACCACTTTAAAATAGACACTACCATTGTACCATAGATCTATAACAAAATTATAAGTAAATATTAAATCACAAAGATAACAGAGATGAAACTAAAATGAACCAAGAAAAGTTCTGACGAAGTACCAATTCGCCATGACGGGTGATTAAGTGCTGTACAGCTGGTACAGTGTACGCATGTACTTTCTAGGGACAAATTTGAGAAAACGCTTTCTAAACTTAAGATATGCACTAAACTAAACATAATATTACATGCTAGCGTTTAAAGTATACAAGTATGAAAGTGGATACATTTTAATTTTTTTTTCATCATCGTTATTTATCAAACAGTACTGTGCGCTGATAACAGAAATATAAGTTAACATTTTTAAGAAAGTGTTTGACTTGTTTGACTTGTTTTAAGAATTATAAAATAATTATAACTGGTTTGAAATATGTATCCATTCACTCACTTGTAATCATCTACGCTTATCTATCTCGTAATTACATTGATATTCAAATCTCTTAATTTTCATCCTCGTCAGTTTCATCAGTATTCTTTTGGTCTTCGTCATCGTCGACCTTGAGTTCTAATATTTCAGTTTTGGATTTAATTGCTGCGGGGATGGATTGGGTGTGATCAGGATTGGAATGTACGTTTACTTTATCACAGTTGGGTTCGGGTTCAATGCAGTCTTTCTCTGGACTGAATCCAGGATCAGGTTCAATAGCTGCGGAGCTTAGCTCATTTCCATCCTGGGATTTATGCGTAGTTTTAGGTCTAGGTGATAATTTAGCTTTAGATACAACCGTAGGATTTGGATTAATATTATCAGAACTAGTATTGGAACTTGAAGGATCCAGGGTTGCGTTTACAGATAAGGGATCTAAACTAGGATTAAGGCGCACAGGACTAGACTCCATAGGTTCAGGTTTCTCTTCGTCCATTGCATCCGTTCCATTTTCACAAGTTCTGGATTCTCCGGACTAAATTAGAATTCTTTAAAACCAAAAAAAGTAGAAGAAAGTAAAATAAGGATTGTCTGAAAATTACCTTTAGTTTATTATATTCCTCTTTGTAGGGTAGAATAGGAATAACAAAGACGGAAATATCGTCAATAGTCGCAGCAGTTCCGTTCGATCTTTTCCAATTTCTCTCCTTCATCTTCCCCCGTGCAGACATGACAAGGTCCTGTGCTAGAGTTATATATCGATACTTCCCTGCCCTGCTCTCATTATCCCAGGCAGATAGTCCGCGCTGGACAATAGTTGCAACATCCTCGTTACTCACAACATCCCACAACCCGTCTGTTCCAAGAACAAGGATATCATCAGCAGTTACCGTCTCATTCTCTATATCCAGGACGCGGACCTAATCATAAGAACGTAAACAAAGTAGTTTTATTTGATTATCTGAAACCAAAGGCCGAATTTAATAAATGGGAGAGATCGCTGAACACTTACCGCTGGTTCGAATTCTGAAATCATCAAGAATCTTTAACTCTGAATCGACGATTAAAGATTTGAACCGGTGGTAGGTAGTTTAGCGACATAGCTCAAATTCATAAAATATGGTACCAGGACCCGATTCTTCAAAGGAATCGAGTCTTTGCCACAAACTCTGATATTCTAATCGACCTATATCTTTGCAACCCAAAGTCAAAGGTATTTCACATTTTATATTCTGTTAGATCAAACAATCTAAGTTTGAAACATCAAAGGTTTGAACCATCCGGTTGGAAAGATATAGGGATAGAAAAATTAGATTTTGTGGCAGAAGAATCGGTTTATTTTTATCATTTCGAAGGTCACAAACTATGCGGAACACATTTAAGAAATCTTCTGGAGCATATTACAGTTACTATGGATGGATAAAAGAATGTTGTCCATTTTTCGTCGTATAAACAAGTATTACCTCTGGTTGCGGAGACAGAAAAGGTTTGATGTAGATCGTCCCGTTCTGAGATTGAGCACGGAGATCGTGATCTCCGAACCCTCGTGTCACTCCTATGGTTGCAAGCAGCCGAGATCGTTTTCCTTCTCCGTAAACCATCGGAAACTTCATGTCCGACTCCTGTACGATCTTGTACGCCCAGCCGGTCATGTGAGCATCTCTGTACATGATTCTTGAACCTATATCTCTCCGGGTAGGTTTCCTACAGAACTCCAAGCAGGTGTATTCGTCTCCTAGAAGATAAGAATTTTTAAAATTTGGGTTAACAAAGCTAAGACATAGTTTAATTCCGATATTTTTATTGTTAAAGTATAAAACAGTTTGTAGCAAAACAATCAACGAGTCTTAAGGCCCAAATCACGTAGGATTGTTAAAATCATTTAATTTGGTTTGAACTAAAATCTAGCTAAAGCACGGATTCTCGCTCGGGTTTCACTCAGATTTTTCTAAAATCTCAGCTCAGGAAAAAAGAAACATTTGTATTAAAACCGCCAAGCATGATGATTTATTTTCTGACTGAATGTTTCAAACTTGAAAATTCATTTATAAGAAATTAAAAGTTTACTACCTAATCTTTCTTATACATACAGACAGATTTCAAATGTGAGTTTACCTAAAAGATGTGGTTGCAATCTCCCGACAGTCTGTAGACGTTGTCTCTCACTGACCGGAGTAAAGTCGTAAGACATTGGATAGGCTTTGGAGAGTCGACATAGAACAGATCTTGAATCTCCAGCATTTGCGACATACAGCTTTCCTAAACATTAGACTATGTGCGATATTTCAGTTAGGGGGGGGGATATAACGTTTGATAAAGATCTTTTCACACAAATGACGAAAAAAAAAAACACAAAAAAAGGGCTATTTCCATTATTTATTTTCCTACATAATATTTCTATTATTTATTTTCCTACCTAATATGAAAAGTGCGACGAGTACGGTGCATCCTCCCAGCATATGATACATCTTCTTCTCCTCTCCGATCAGTTGATCTGCTTCCCAGAATGCTGTCTCTAGAGCCCCGATCACCAAACTCTCTGTAGAGATGGGTCTATTGGTCGGCCATATTGTATCATACGTGTCCTTACCTTCGTTTAACAACTGAGGACCAACATTTTCTAGTTTAGCGTGAATAATCTGCCAAAGATCGTTACTGGCGGCCACGGCACATCCAGCACCCGCATGGCCGTCGAAAACTGCGAATAATGTGTAAGGTATGTGCGTCATTCGTCCACCGACGATAACATTGATTCGTCCTTCGTGTGCGCAGGCCTGGTCCTCGTTCTGGCGGGATTTCCCCGCATTTATAGTTTCTGCGTATCCCGCATTCCAGGGCAGGGCGTTGACATCTCGTGGGACAATTATAGGTCTAACAGCATGATCAGCGGTTACCTAGAGATAAAACATTTTTAGACAAGTTGTTTTCTCTTCCCTTTTAATACTTTTCCCCAAAAATTCATTTCCCCCTCATAACAATCATTTATTTTTCCCAATTTAGCAAAAAATACCGAACTTTTGAACAAAAAAATTTTTTTTTAAGAGCTCCCCTCTTGGATAAATTTTTTAAGAAAATACACACCCCTGAAAGTAAATCAAGTTTTTGATGCAATACAAACAAAAATTGCGATAATTAAGTAAAAGTTGTAATGGTAGAAGTTTTTCATGAGCTACGATATTTCACCTGTATTTCATCAGCTGTTGCTAGTTTGAGAAATGCTGGTCGTTGATACGGATACTTGAGCCTAGGTTGGGAGTAGGTTTGAGAGGACGGGATCCCTCCTTCCTCCTCCGGGTTCCCAATTGCATTATAGAGGACGCTTTTAAACCTTCCCAGCATAATGAACCTATTCTTCAGACATTCTGCTACAAGGTTGTAATCCTTGAATGAGTTAAGTTTTTCTCTGAAACACAAAAATGTGAAATATGTCAACCCTAGCTTGAACATAAAGAACACAATAATAATAATTTATGAATTTATGAATTAGCGCAAAGAACATCCTGATTAAACTAAATATACTAGGACTAGTCATACAAACAATTAATATTGTTTGTGAAAAATGGTGTTGAAGAGGATTGTAAACAAATCTTAAGTTTCACCCACAAAAATTTTAAAAAATTTAATTTTAGGGATTAGTTAAAATTATGTTGACAGTCCCTTTAAAGGTAAGAAAACAACGTGGATGGTGCCTAAACATACATTTGTTTTTGATTAAATTCTTTATCTTGTTTCTTTGATAGACTAGTTTTATTTTCCCATTACAATTGACTAAAATACAACGACGAAAACCAAACTAAAAACACAGAGAGGAGTAAATCGCTTTATGTCGATCCCCCTGAATGCCAAAAATAATAAATATGTATAGGACGGGATAAATTAATACCAAAAATAATATTCTTAAATATTTTTCAATAAAAAAACATTATTTCAGCTGCTAGAGATTTTAATTTTTTTGTTGTAAAATGATTTGCAAATAGGTTTCTTATTCTAGATTAGTTGGTTCTGATTAGAATTCAAGTTTTCCTACGCATAGTATACTAGTATACCTACGCAATTATACATGGAGAGATATTTGTCAAATGAGCAGTTAAATTAGGATACAGTACTACGCAGTACAGTTACGTTGTGTTTACAAACATTTAAATAAAGATGTTTAAATATGTCAAAAATAATATTCTATCTTATAAAGTATTTAATTTAGTCTGATCTTTAAAAATTTATCAACCTGGGTTGAAACTATCCTGTGATAGGAATTAGAATTTCCAAATTATAAAATATATCCAGATTGTATCTCGGTCTAATGATTAAGTATGCAACCGTAGTTGCAGCTCTGTCTGACGTAAAAGTATCCCATGGACCGAGGTTGTAGCTACAGGAACCATGATTGAAGGAAGGAAGGATGACTAGTAGAAGAAGAAAAGACGTTCCCGAGCAGAGCTGGAGAGTTGCCTCCAGGTTTTCTTGATTTGAAGATACTAAAACAAAATAATATTATTTGTTGATGTTCTTCAAGATATTCCTCCTACCTGGATACAAGTTCCAGTATAGATATTCCTCCTACCTGGATACAAGTTCCAGTAAAGATATTCCTCCTACCAGGATACAAGCTATAGTACAGATATTTCTTCTACCTTGATACAAGATCTAGTACAAATATTCCTCCTACCTGGATACAAGCTCTAGTACAAATATTCCTCCTACCTGGATACAAGCTCTAGTACAAATATTCCTCCTACCTGGATACAAGCTCTAGTACAAATATTCCTCCTACCTGGATACAAGCTCTAGTACAAATATTCCTCCTACCTGGATACAAGCTCTAGTACAGATATTCCTCCTACCTGGATACAAGCTCTAGTACAAATGAGGAATCCGAACCCAAGAACCAGCCACCAAAGCCAGGCATTCTCTGACCTCACTAGATCCGTAGACCTCTTGACGATGAGGGTCCACTTAGCCAGGGATAATCCGAACCCTGCCAGAGCTCCATACCTAAACACGATATTAAAATAAACAACAGGAAAGAACTGGAAAGTTCATGGATGGTAAAAAAGTGAGTTCCTTTTCTAAAACAAATTCTTTACTTGTTATTCTATACAATATTTTTTTTTCAAACGTGTCTTCATAACACTTTCTCGCAAGAAATATTCATAAGTTATTAATTTATCATATTTATCAGTCTAGATTTGTGTAAATTTACTATTCAGATCCTTCTTAATCCGCCTAGATCCTTTCAGACCCATTCAGATCCGTCTAGATAAATCTAAATCTGTCTGGGTCAGTCTAGATCTGTCTAGATCTACCTAGTTTTCCTAGATCTGTCTAGATATGCTTAGATCCGTCCGAAACTCTCTGTGTAGTGACCCTATATCATTAACAGAAATATGAGATTCTGTTATAATTGTATCTCACCTTGCTGCGATGGTGTGACAGAAGCACATGAGGAGCAGGAACCCGACCCAGTTGAAGAGGAACGAGGTCACGAATGCTGTGCAGAACACGAAATCATTTCCCAGGAGAGCAGCATCTCCATCCTCCTCCCAGTCTACAGGGATACGTCCTCGTTCAAGAACCTCCGCGTCCTCCAAGATATCACTGACGTACAGCTTATCTAAAAAGAGGTGATTTAAATGTAGTCAAACATTATAGAAAACCCTACCAATATTTTGGGGAGCACTGTATATTTCTGAGAAAAATAAATTTTCCCTGACTTGCATAATGTTCCGTCGCCATTTCTAAATGTCCCTTTTCTTGTTGGTATGTTTTGTGACAACAGCGTACTGTAAGTGCTCAGCCCGTTAAGGTCCCCGAGAGACTGTACTAAATTAAACCAATTGATAATCATTGAACTATTTCGCTCCTTTAATGTCCAAGGTATGTTAAAAAATATAATGATAATGATAAGCTACAATAATTACAAAAAATTTTATTTTTTCAAAAACATATAAAATATTCTCCCGCAACATACGCTTCAAAATTTTCATTTCTACTCAACCCTCGAGAGAAAATAATGTTCATTCCAGATTACATAAAGCAGATTAAAACAAACTTAAATATTCTATGCTAAGCTTCTTTCAGTGTGCTTCGCGCCCATCTTGTATTTCAACTTTTAATTGTGACTTTATCTGTAAGCATCTTCTCTTCTCTTTGTACAATGCACATTATAAAACAATAACAACAAAACCTCGGATTTAATAATATTTTTCCGAGGATTTTTAAAATTTCGCAAAAATCGAAATATTTTGGGCAATTTTTTTTGGCCCAATTAAGGCTGTTTTGGCGCTAATTGGAAACAAACAGACATACAGGCATAGATGTACAGAGATAAGTTTTAAAATGGGAATTACAGTAAGAAACAAATGTTAAAATACACGTTGCGTAATATATCACCTTTAGAGAGCTCTGCCTGTTCATAGGTTGGGAGATGAGAAGCTACAGAATATGCTGGAGGAGGTTCATCCATCGGTACAGGGACTGCTGGAGGATATCCACGAGGACCTGGTAATCGATCGATCGATAATCAATCAGCCAACCAACCAACCAACCAACCAACCAACCAACCAACCAACTTAAGTCAAAGTTATGAAAATGCTAATTGTATAAAGATATTTTAACTTACCGATAGGATTAGCCAATCCAACGGCGGAGTTGTAGTCAGGCGGAGGACAGTTGTGAGGAGGAGGCGGAGTAGTATTGCTTGGAGGCGGAGTAATATTGTTTGGAGGCGGATTGGTCTCCATTATTGATTCTGAAACTAAAAATAAATAAAACATTGACTAAGTAAAACTCGTTTGATTATGTTATGCATACGAATCTATAAAAATTAGTCTTATTCGTTAAAATTTTTTAAATCTATGGCTAACATTATCCTAGTATCCTAGTCCAATTTCCCCTTAAGCGACTGTTATTTTTGTAGAAAACTTTCTTTTGCCACCATGAAGGATAAATTTAATGCAAAAGAACTTGAATTTTGCAATAATTAAACGTTTCGTGTCAAACCTAACCTTCAGTTTGATATATATATAGTTTGTTGAGTTGGTTGAAATTTAAATATCTATTTAATGATCTTAATAATATAAAGACTTAAACTATACTTAAAAATTAAATAAAATTAAGTCTTAGATTCGATCTTATTTGAACAATTTCTGCTTATGTAGTCAAGAAGTAGATGAACTGCAAGACAAAGTTTCATTTCTGTACAGTTTCAGGTTCTCTCAGTAAGTAAACTTATTACTTCAAGACCAGGACTATACTGTCCTAACTATACTGTTCAGATTCAAGTCCCAAAAGAGTAAATGTACAATGCAATACTGCCCCCCGCCTTTAGTGGTATAAAGGTTTCATAGGATTAAATCAACTTGAAGATCAAGGCTTAACTATCTTCCTAGTCTTGCTCAGAATCAGGTTCTCAAAGAGGAGACCAAAACTAATCTTTTTCCTGATGTTCAAGTTCAAGTTCTCTGCGAGTAGATCCAAACTAAGATGTATTTCTAGTCCTGCTCAGGTTTAGTTTTTCAAGAAGTATTTCAACCGCAATATCAGCAGAGATTAGACAACCTTCCACATTTGATTGAGCAAATGAATCTCCAGCTCCGACTAGTAGTGGAGTAGAGTAGAGACTGACAGCTCCAGGACTACCTGGATACGGTACATCAGTTTGGGAAAATCTCCACTTATGAGTTATAACATTGTCAGGTTTAGGAAGCTTGTACATAAGCTCCCGTGCTGCATCAAATATGATAGGTTCAGCTTCAAGTTTAGACAACTCCAGGTTGTCTTGAGACCAGGATCTCTGGGTCTGGATACAGATGGAAGTTGGTTCTTCAGGTCTATCTCTCCGGAGTGTATCAATTGATATATAACGTATAATTGGATGATCCGGGAAATATTTAAATTTCCAGTCTAGGCTAAGACAGGTTGGTTTGCTGTACAGTAATCCCTGAGAGAAACTTGACAAGAACTGAACCTGGCGTAGGTTTTCATAAATATCAGAGTTTTCTTGAATCTTACTGATAAAGTCTCCACCAGGAGAAGAAATTGTAGGATAAACTCCTAAAACAAACTTAAATTTATATTTTTGAGTATTTTTATTTATATTTTAATTATCTATTTAGTGTATTTACCTAGGAGCTGAGGCACTGGTATAGTTAAAATCACAGCATCATAGTTTTCAGTCTTATTATTCTGTTTGTTGACAGCAGTCCAGGACGATCCAGAGCAGTTCAATTCGTCCAGGAAATGATGTTGGCAAGGAGTTAAACCAGATCTAAAATTGAAGTTTCAAAGTAAAAGTATGATTATTTAATAAATTAAATATAAATCCTCAAGCTGAAGCTTTTTTGGATATAAATATAAATGTCTGTTAAGAAAAGATTGAATATTTTTTAATGAAGGGTTACAAAAAATAACGTTGGGCCAGCTTAAAAAATTTGTCTAGAGCAACATGTTAAATAGAAACTGTTTTTTTCCTTGAAGTTAAATGTATCCTTATTTTTCTAAGTTGGAGAGGGGTGTCAGGTGTTAAATAGATTATTCAGAAGTCAATTATCTAAATGTAAGTCTCATTCATGATCATATTAGGTTTCATCAATATTTCAGGACAGAATAAATGATTTTTTATCGTTTTTTAGCCAAACTAAAACTTTTCCTTTCATGAAATTTTGATGAAAATGGATTTGTTCTGAAATGTTTCTTATTCACATTACATAGAAAAGGAAATATCTTGAAATTGCAGATTTTCTTGTATGGCTATAAACTAAAAATCATATTGTCATGTAAATAAAATGACCGGAGCTGGATTGAATGAACAACCATAAGTAGTTGAAAAACGTATACGTAGTTCAACTACTTCTATTGTGCGCCGGGGACCGAATTTGATGAATTTGAACTGCCTTCCGACGGCTCAAATTTATATCACCGATTCAAGCCCTTCCTGAATCCTTACCTTTGAATCGGTGGTTTTTTGAACCGGCAGTAGTTAGTTCAACGACGCAGCTCAAATTCATTAAATTCGGCCCTGGTTCAAGTTGAATACAGTGGATAAACTTAGTCTATGTAGTTCAACGATATCTCGCTATTCATTTATTTATAAATCATGATTATAGAGTTTAATCGTTGATATATTTAAGGATATTTATATTAATTCATGTTTGTAACAAACTTTTTCATGAAGAATAGGTTTCACTCAACTTGATATTTTTCAGTTTTAGTTGAACATAAAGTTATGAAAATCCTTCTCTATTGAAATATTTGAACAATCCCTTAAATTCAAGTTCCTCTCACCTCTTCCAAAGATGTTTCACGACGGTTTCTGTTCCTTGATAAGCAATAAAATTCTCCGGTTTAGACAAAATCATCAGTTCTCCATTCTCCGGGTCCTCCAACCACGTGGAGTCGTCCACAGCCTTGGTTATAAACTCATCCAAGTCCTGATCATGTTCATCTTCATTCCACTTCTCAGCTACCAGAGGCAGCAAAGGTACTTTCACATGTTCCGGTTTAATTTCTACAGAAATAAACTTCAAGTTAAGATTTATGAATTTAATCGTGTTCAGCTTTATTAATTTCTTTCTCCCTCCCCTCCTAAAAATGTGCGAAGATTAACTATAAAATCTGATTTCAATGAGGTTTGCATGTTTTAAACCTTACTTTAAGAAACAAAGATAGTTCAAAATAAACAATCTGTAAACGGATAAAGGTATTTTTACCCAACCTGTAATTATGGGGTTACTTAAAATTACGTAGACAATGGTTTAACTTGAGTTCCTTTCAGTATTTTCTTCTGAATTCTAGGTTTCATCACAGGTCTGAGAATATCAGAGCTAATTAAATCTTTGAACAGTGTGTTCTCCTCTCCCGTCTATAGAACATATATTCTTTAAGATATCCAAACATGATAGGGAGTTATCAACTATGTCCACTACTAAACCGAAAACCTAAAAATACTAACGCCTCTAAATAGCTATACGTATTATTAGGTATATTTACGTAAAAGTTTGTATGCTCAAATTTTTGGTAAAGAACTTACGTATTTATCATACCAAGCGTTTTTTAAATGCTTAGGTTTTCCAGAAACGCACTTTTACGAATTTTTTTTTAACCGTGTATGTTGATTTACATGGATACAGATGAAGGAAGGATGATGGTGTAAATCTGTGAAGAAGAATATTGGATTGGATTAAAATTAATTGATGTGAATATGGATTTAAGAAAGGAATTGAGTCTTTGCCACAAACTCAGATTTTCTAATCCCAATATCTTTTGAACCCAATGTCGCATACGTTTGATATTTCAAACTATTAATTCTGTTAAATGAAAGAATATAAGTTTGAAATATTAAAGGTTTATACCACCAAGTTGCTTAGATATAGGTTTTAGATAACTTGAGTTTGTGGTAAAACTCAATTCCTTTGTGGAATTAGTTCTATTGATATGAAAGAACAATGTGCATCCAGTGCATGCATAATTTAGTCACTACCTTCTTAACATTTTGGTTTTAGAATATGCCTTAAAAATACGTATTTTTACGTATAGGAAAACCCTTAAAAATTCCATGGATTCATTTGATTTTTTAATACGTATTTTTACTAAAGAAATGGTTACAAAAATATGTACGTCATACGTATGGAAAATACGTATATTTACGAATGTCCTACGTATTTTTAGGTTTTCCGATTAGTAGGGTCATTAGAAAAAGAAAAAAAAACATTAGAGGACTAAGTTCTTGAAAATGTATTCAGAACTTAATTTAAAAGAGATCATGTAAAGAACTAAAACGTCAAGAACTAATTGTCTAAATTGAATTTAAGAAAAAAATTAAAACGTATCTCTTAAAATCACTACTTCATTTAAAATAAAAACTAAGACAGTCCACGATCTCGCATATTAATCATTAAATGAAAAATGATGTTCCCCTGACAAGTTAGATGTTGAGCTCCGAGATCCACAGTGTTAGAGCCAAGTCTGTGTGTTGTTAATCTTCCACCTACAAACATAAAATTTCGATTTAAAATAGATTAATCTTTTTGATCAATCATGTTTAAGAAGTTATAAAGAATGTCACAAATATCAACTGCATGTCAGCGTCCAACTAACGTTAACGACTGAACCACCATGGCCTAATAATTCTTGAGGGACCTCACATAACCCCTTGGAATTAAATAAACCCTGAATCCACAAATTTAAATTTAATTTTGTTTTTGTTGGAAATCCACCAATGAAAGCAGAAAAATCTGCAAAATAAAAATGGTCTTTGTTTAAGAATACACGAAAAAAAATGTTCGCAGGGATTAAGAAATATAAAGAATACCATGAGGAAATTTAAATACCAGGTGCATAAAAAATTTAATAAAATGCACTTGCCGGTTCTTGGGGCTTTATTCCAAGGGGAGGGGGTCAAGGAAATATAAAATATATTCTGAACCTGGTTTCCTTGCTCTGTCCCAACACGAGAGTTTGACCGGAAGGTCGGCTAGCCTGCATGCAATAGCTGCGCTGGTCAACCCAGCTCCAACCAGTAGAACCCGGGGCATCTTACATCTGTAAGGACATGATTGTACAGGATTTACAAATTAGAAATATTGAAACCACACAATTCATAGCAAGGTGTGTTATCAAGAATGTCGTTAACTGTTAATGTCGGGCATTCCATTTGATCCGATTTTTAACGATTAAGGATATTTGGCTTTTACAAGGCCCCATAAATGCTATAAGATCAATCATGAAAAGAAGGATAATCGTTACCGAAATTATTGTGAAATTATTGCTAAAATTACAAGGTCACAAAAGCATCAGTCTTTAATAAAACTTTAGAATAAAACTATTGTTATATGATTAAGTGCTGGATTAAGGCTAGACAGCATTCCTAGTTCTGTTCAGGTTCAGGTTCTCAAGGAGAAGATTTTTACTAAAATCACAGCATCATAGTTTTCAGTCTTATTATTTTGTTTATTGACAGCAGTCCAGGACGATCCAGAGCAGTTCAATTCGTCCAGGAAATGATGTGAGCAAGGAGTCAACCCAGATCTAAATATTAAATCATGAAAACGTTCGATGTGAAAATATTTTCTCTCATTATTTTTATTTTTTTTTCGGTAACTCTATGGAATGTAAATAGAAGTCTTTCAAATTCACCTGCACAGTACGCATGAAAACATTTGTCCGGTCAATAATGAATTAGATATCCATGCTTGGAATTTTAAAAACTTATTATTTTCAAAAGTGACTTGCGCATTTAACTACAGTATAACATTAATTTAAACACTTTTCAAGTTATAAAGGACGTATTGAGCAGATAAAGGTTTCAAGGGTACCGTTGTGAATCGGGCATACACCTTCTTAAAGGGTGGGTCACTTAAAATTACGAACACAGTCCTTTTAAAAACTTACTCACCGTTTTCATAAATAGTTGACAATAGACTCATTTCCTTGAGAAGTTCTCTGGTTGTTAGAAACTTCAGTTATCTGTTCTCCGGGTCCTCCAACCATATGGTATCATCTACAGCTTTGGTTGTGTATTCATTCCAATCCTGAGAAGGTTCATATTTTACCCTCTTCTCATCTCCTAGAGACAGTTTCAGAGGACCGGGATTCTTTACTAATAAGTTGATATTGAGAATTAAAACTAATAATTTCTAGATATTTGAAAATTAAGAAAAGCACATTATTACTATTGCAGGTATTGCTGTAAAGGAGTTGAGTTTTTGCCACTACCCAAACTTCCTAATCCCTATATATTTGCAACATAATGGTGCAATATTTTAATATTGCAACATCATGTTCGACTTTGGCTTTGCAAAAATACAGGTATTAGAAAATCAGAGTTTGTGCTAAAGAATCAATTCCTTTTAAAAATAATGTCATATACTCTTCTGATTAAAGTTATTTTATTGACAGTTTTATTTGATAGTTTTTCATTTCAATTTAAGTTCCTATTATTATCTCTTCCAGTTTCCAGTTTCCGTGCTCTATACACAGATTTCCGAGTTCAGGACTTCATCAATTCTTTGGACAAACTGGATTCTTCTCTGGTCTGTCATTTCACCTATCTATATATGTTACTTTGCTTGTCTGTCTGTGGGGAAGGTTTATGGATGTTCTAAATTACAAACATTTGTGTCCAAAAGTTTTCAAATATTTGTAAAATTTAAAAAATGCGCGAACAAATATTTTAAATCCGTGAACTTTTTTTAAAAAATGTTTTTTTTTTTATTTTACAAAGAATAAATGCTCACAGATAGAGCCACAATTGAAAGTTAAAATGGGCGCTGGACTAATGGCTTTAGTTTCTTTAAAAACTTTAATCTATTTTAGATTTAATAATGTAAAATAAACAATAAATCTTGAACGATTTTAAAATGATGAGATAACATGATATATTCCTGTGAACCCAGATCCACATGATTGGAACCCAGTTTATGAGTTGTGAGTCTACCACCTGAATTATGAATAAATTATTGTTAAAGGGACTATAGTTGTTATTTAAAGTGACCTTCCAGTAAAAGATTGTCATGACCGCCCTTTAAATCTTCAGCTTATCGAGACTGAGGAAGATAATGTGGATCATCTAGCTTGGAAAGTGTTCCTCATGGATTGATGATTAGACAAAGCTGTTAAGGGTACATTTAAGTGAATTGGACTTCTATTGAAAAACTTTTAATCTATGTAAAAATACTAAATAAATAAAATAAACTTGCGGCTTTTGCTCTGACCTTGGGCAAAGGAAGGGGGGAGGGCCAAGGGGATGTATAAGAAAATATATTCCGAACCTGGTTTCCGTGCTCTGTTCCAACAAGAAAGTTTGACCGGAAGGTCTGATAGCCTGCAGGCAATAGCTTCACTGGTTAACCCAGCTCCAACCAGTTGATCCCGGGGCATCTTACATCTGGAACAAGTAAAAAAAACATGATTTCTTCTCAGAATGAATAAAACTAAATTTATACAGAATTCTTAACTAAAGGATTAACAGCACAGTATCCACCGTGTTCAAGAACGTATGCTCCAGCATCCTCGTAGAACAGATCCCTCTCCCCCTGCAGCTCAGTCTGGTACAAGATCTGCTTCACCTTCTCCTCAACCCTTTGCCGGGATTCAAAAATAAACGGGATCGCGAGGCTTACCTCGTGCTGCGCATGTGCGTGTCCAACAACGTATGAGCGCGATGCTCGTGATAGCACGCACACCATGGCGTAGGTCTCCATGGCGATGTCGCTAATTCTCTCTAATTTCGACTCCCTCAGCTGAATATTTAGACCTTCGTCGAGAAGAACGTTCTCCGCGCAGATTGCCAGCTTATGTGCCGCCCATTCGACCTGCGGGGCTGCCCGAGCCATTCTAGGATGGACATAGTGCTCCAACATAAAGGTTTTCGGAGAATAATCAACCTTATGGCGAGCAGCTCTAACTTTATACTTGAAGGATTTGATGGGATGAACCCCGGGTCTATTGCATTGTTTCAGATATTCACCCTTGTTTTTGATTAAATGCAATATTCCGGAGATTGCAATAAAACATTTAATAATATTGTTTGAACCCTGCCAGGATTGAAGAACCTGGTTCTCTGCAATAAACTCCTGGTATTTAGATTCCTTGAGGTTTGTCTGAGCTCCGAGTATAGCTAGACAGTGACGGGTTACATAGTCAAATGTTTCTACGGCATACTGTTTAACAATGGCAGACTCGACTTCGATATCAGGCTCTTTCCCAACGTCAGCCAGACCGGAAGTAATGTAGAGCATACTCTCCAGGGCGTAGATTTTTGTTGTACATTTAGCAATCTGTATCCGGATTAACTCAAACTCAGACAATTTGTTGCCGAACTGTTTCCTGAAATAAGAACAGGAATTAAAACAATTAAGTAGAATGTTTAAGAAATTGAGAATAATAAAATATATGAAAAAAAAACTATTTTATTAACTACAAATAGTGTACATTTCTAAGATGAATTATGCACGACTTATCAGTGTACATTTCTAAGATGAATTATGCACGAATTATCAGTGTACACTACATTTCTAAAAAGAACTATGCACGAATTATCAGTGTTCACTACATTTCTATGATGAATTATGCACGACTTATCAAAGTAAAATTACCAAATATTAAAGCTAAATTAACAAAAATATAAAAAAATTTGCTGAACAAAAATGTTTTTCGGTTCGTTACCTGGCTAGTGCATGATGAACTGTATCCTTGAGCAGAGATTTTAACCTTGTAATGATACCAGCCGTCATGAAATATTTATTTTCATGATTTATCTTTTTTAGGATCTCCAACCCTGCTCCAGGTTCCCCTGAAACGCACAGATACTAGATATCGAGAAAATGATTTTCGAAGAATGGCAAGAAAAAATTGCAAAATTGCACCAGCAGGGGTATATATTTTTAAGAACAATCCACACACCCCTCGGAAGGTGGGTAATTTTGATGATATCATTAATCTTCCCGGAAAAAAAAACCTTTATTTTTGGTGTCTTACTTCTTAAAAAAAATGATTTTCCAAGAAAATATTTACCCCTTGATTGAACTTCATTTGGCAATTTCCCTGCTCTTATAAAAACAGTGAACCCCAAACTTCCTCCGATTTAGCGATTATTTTTTTTCGTTGAAACCTTAATTAATAATTTATTTGCTTCACCTAATATAGCAGACTTTGGTATCAAACAGTTGAAGTTTACGTCACAGACTTGCAATCCGTTGAATCCAGCGATCTGGTTTGGTATGGATATCTCAACCCCAGGAGTATCCTTCTCAACCAGGAACGCTGTCAGGCTCTCCTCCTCCTCCCCCAAGTAGTTCTTAGCCTTCAGGTTCGCAAACACCAGGAACAGGTTGGAGCGGATAGCGTTGGAAACCCAGGTTTTAGTTCCAGTCAGACGATACATATCCAAGGAATCGTCGAACTTGACTTTAGCCTGAACCGAGTTCGGATCCGACCCTGCTCCCTTCTCCGTAAAACAGAACCCGGTCCATAGTTCGCCGGAGGAAATCTTTGGTAAATATTTAGTTTTCTGATCTTGGGATCCGTGGTTAACAATTGCTTTCGTACAAATAATTTCATTAATATTGAACAGTTCGGAGAGAGAAAGGTCTACTCCAAGCTCCTGGAAGAGTCGGAGAACCTCCGTGTTCATGAGTTCAGCCCCTCCGTACTCTGCAGGCACCATGAGTCCATGCAAATCCAAACTCTTCATCTTCATCAATATCTCATCAGGTACAGAACCACGCTGGTTTATACAAGACAAGATTTCTTTATTCTCAGCCAGGAAAGCTGAGAGTTGGCGAACCTGCTCGTTGAGAACAAAATATCTTTCATAATTTAAGACCTCAGCGTATGACAGGATGGATTTATTGAAGGTGCCGATAAAAATATCCTTTATGAAGGGTGGAAACTCAATTCTATTTAGATTGGTCTCTGAAGGGCTGCCCAGTGAGGGGGTTTCTTGTTCTGTTAGGTCTCTAACTATACTTCTTACAGAGGTTAAAGAATACGGTTTTTTAACCTGTAGTAAACAACTTGTTCTCAGTATTCCATTCATGTTAAATCTGAAATTAATAAATAAAAATGTCAAATTCCTAGAACAGGATAAAAACAGAACCCAGAGCTGGAATAGTTGACAGCTGCATGCAAGTAAGGTTGCGCATGCCCGGAGATAATTATTGGGACGGGTCTATACACTCTACACTCTGACTCTCTACACCACAATCAATCAATAACTATTTTCAATTCAACCTTTATTTCATGTTAACTTTCACTTAATATAACTCTTCAAGGAACGAGGAGATTTATCCTATAAAACACTTATTTCATTTTATAATTTTATATTTTAATTACAACAATATTTACATTTAATTCATTTTAAGTGTTGTGTTTACATTTTTAGCATTGGATCAAGGAGGAGGTTAATATTGAGATTACATAACATTATAAATTTTCTTCGTAAAGTCAAAAGTATTCAAGTAATAACAGTTAATAAACACAAATATTTACATCTTAATAATTTTGATTTTTTCCGCCCATTTTTCTGTTAAAACTAATGGTTCCTATACATCTTAAAGTGTAATAAATTAAAGATAGATAAATGTAAATATATTTGAGTCGACTTTACGATATCCTGGAGAGAAGGGTTTACTCCTCTGCTCCTGTATCCTGGAGAGCTGGATCATCAAAGAAAGCTTCCTCGCTTAGATAACTTCCTAACTGAGTTATCATTCCACCTAAATCAATCATAAGTAAATGTGTGTCTGAAGCGTTGAGACAATTCAAAGAAATGAGTTGAGACAACTCAAAGAAAGGAGTTGAGACTACTCAACGAAAGTATATGAGACAACTTAAAGAAAGGAGTTAAGAAAACTTAAAGACAGGAGTTGAGACAACTTAAAGAAGGGAGTTGAGACAACTTAAAGAAAGGAGTTGAGACAACTTAAAGAAAGGAGTTGAAACACTAAAAAGGAAGGAGTTAAGACAACTTAAAGAAAGGAATTGAGACCACTTAAAGAAAGGAGTTGAGACAACTTAAAGAAAGGAGTTGAGACACTAAAATAAAGGAGTTGAGACAACTCAAAGAAAGGAGTTGAGACAAATAAATGAATGAAGCTGAAACAACTTTGTAAAAGAAGTTGAGACAACTTAAAATTAAGTTTTTTTGTAAACTTCCAAAAAGGAGTTATGGAACTTACAGAAAAGAGTTCAGAAAAAAATTGAAAATGATATGGAACGTCTTTAATATGAAAAGTTATTAACCTTGCATTTTTCGTAAACACTTCCTTTATGAAAGAAATCGATGCTTTGCCAAAAACTCTGATTTTCTAATCCCAATATCTTTGATATTTAAAGCTTAGATTATTTGAGCTGACAGAATTCATAGTTTTTAATATCTATACGACATTGGCTTGCAAAGATATAGGGATTAAAAATCAGAGTCTGTGGCAAAGACTCAATTCTTTGTGCCAAAGATTATTCACCTATTGCACATAATAAGCAAAGAAGAAAACAAAACCAACCGGACACGTCCTCTTCCTTACAGCGGTCAATGATCTCCTGCCAGAAGTCTGAGTAGAGTTTATTCTTCTTGTGGGAGGGGAACTCGGAGAACACCCAGTCCAGTATACTGTTTACTCCAGGCTTACCTTTAGGGGCAAGATCGTTGTCTAAACAAAGTGAAATTATTTGAGATTTTTCACATAATCTTCAATTAATCTTACATTTAAACAATGTCTTGATAAAGAAACTGAACACCTGCATCAAACTTTAAACTGTTTGATCTAGCCGAATTCATAATATAAGAAATATCAAAAGTTGACGCCATTAGGTTACGAAGATAAAGGAATTAGAAAAATAGATTTTTAGACCATTATTATTCAGATCCTTTGCAACTGTTCATTTAACATTGAATCAGCAAATAATTCTCGAGACAGCTTCGTTTTTCATTTAAAAATGACAAGCTGCAATTTTTCCACTTAAGACATATCATAATTAATTTTTATGGTTTCGGAGTTTAGCACTTATCTAAAAAAGTGCTCATTATGATAAAATTATTAACGTCCAACAGTTCCTTTGTTTAAAAGTTCCTACCCATTCTATCGCAGACGATGACCATGGAGGATATGATATCTGAGACTGTAAGAAGAGAGTTCTTGTTGTTCAGGTAGATAAGGTAGTGCTTGATCATGCTCCCCGAGCTGAACAGGAGCATGGTGGTGATGTTATCCAGTAACCAACTAGGTTCCTAAAAATGGATTATATATCCATGGATATACATTAATTAGGTACCAACCTTCATGTACACCCCAACCCCCCTGCACCAAACACTGGTGTTTCTATTATCCGTACTGCTCTACATCCGTCAACCCTCCTGTTCCGTCACTACACCTACCAGCCCTCCTGTTCCTACCTTCCTTTCTTGCTCTACACCTACCAGCCCTCCTGTTCCTACCTTCCTTTCTTGCTCTACACCTACCAGCCCTCCTGTTCCTACCTTCCTTTCTTGCTCTACACCTACCAGTCCTCCTGTTCCTACCTTCCTTTCCTGCTCTACACCTACCAGCCCTCCTGTTCCTATCTTCCTTTCCTGCTCTACACCTACCAGCCCTCCTGTTCCTACCTTCCTTTCAGCTGCTCTACACCTACCAGCCCTCCTGTTCCTACCTTTCTTTCTTGCTCTACACCTACCAACCTTCCTGTTCCTACCTTCCTATCCTCTACACCTACCTTCCTATCCTGCTCTACACCTACCAATCCTCCTGTTCCTACCTTCCTATCCTGCTCTATACCTACCAACCCTGTTCTTCCTACCAACCTTCCTATCTTGCTCTGCTCCGACCCTCCTCCTGTTCCTATCTTCTTATCCTGCTCTACACCTACCAACCCTCCTGTTACTACTGTTCTATCCTCCTCTACACCTACCAATCCTCCTGTTCCTACCTTCCTATCCTGCTCTATACCTACCAACCCTGTTCTTCCTACCAACCTTCCTATCCTGCTCTGCTCCGACCCTCCTCCTGTTCCTATCTTCTTATCCTGCTCTACACCTACCAACATTCCTGTTCCTACCTTCCTATCCTCCTCTGCTCCGACCATGTAGTCAATTATCCCGAATATCCTGTTCCTCGGCATCTTCGAGCTGTTGAACATGGTTGCTAGAACCTGGCCTAGATCCTCCATCATATCCTTAGCCTCGTTATACGAAGTCGGGATATCATCCTAGATACAGGATTAAACTTAATTTCATCTTTCCTCAATGTTACACGTTAAATAAAGGCTAATTTCAGTGTCACAAAGGTGAAAAGTCGTACTAGTGATTTTTAAACCTTTCTTGTTTATTTTACATCGTACAATCTACATATAACCTTTCCCCTTTCATAACCCAGCTGAAATGTCTACCCCGTTCTAGATTGATTGACTATCCCTGTGAAACTGTAAATACCTTGTTTTCAAATTTAATTTAGAATTTAAAAACTAAAATTATAAATTACGTAAACACAATTAAAACCGTAAATAAAATTCATAAATGCAAAACAAGATCGGCTTTTAAATGTAAATATGTAAATCTCCGAATGAGAAACACTGACCTCGCATGCGTCCCATTGAGGATGATAAATTCTCTTGTAAATCATTAGTCTCTGGAACTCAGTCATGTCCTTAAAATTTTGATTAATGATTAGTTAGAATTATGATTTTAGAAACTCCTGAATGTCATAATTTGGAGAAAAAAGAGCATTTGCAACAAATTTGGTATTTTTAATCACTGTATCGTACTGTATCCTGATAGTGTTAACCTTTGCTATTTCAAACTTTAATTAAGAGTTTATAGATCCAAGGTCTCCGACATGGGGTTGCAAAGATATAGGAATAAGAAAATCAGAGTTTGTGGCACAGGCTTAATTTCAATAAAAAAGGCAAGGATTGTACCAACCACTCATAATTCGGGTTGTACAAAATTCTCCGGGCTCGGAACTGGATTTTAATGAAACTAGGCTTTTAGGGCACTTCGTGCCCATTCTTATTTCAACTTTTAATCGTGGCTTTATCTGTGAGCATCTTCTCTTTGGACAGTATAAAACAACAACAAAAGTTTGCGGATTTTAAATTTATTTTTCGCGCATTTTCAAAATTTTACAAAAATAAAAACTTTTAAACACGTTTTTGAAATTTTAATCATTCATAAACCTTCCCTGGGGTCACATGAGGTCCCACACAAAATTTGGGCCCGATCGGTTAAGCCGTTTTGACGTTATTGGATACAAACAAAGAAACAAAAAACAGACAGAAAGTATATATATAGATGCCCAGATTTGAATTTTAACAATTTAAGGACTTCAATTTCTAAAACAAAGATTTCAGAATTTTTGGAATAAAAACATATATTAAGGATTATAATTTGAAACCAAGCTTTTGTGATTTGTAATTGTCAACTTTTTTTACCTGATAAAGTATTCCGTTGAGAGTGTGGTTCATACAAGAAGGACCAGCCATTAGATATATTATCTTAGATGCATCCTACACAGTGATAAGTAATAAATAGGTNATGATTATGATTATGATTATGATTATGATTATGATTATGATTATGATTATGATTATGATTATGATGACGATGATAATTATGTTGATAATAATAATGTTAATAATAATCATGCTGATAATGACGCTGATTATAATGATCTACCTGAGAATGATCTTGAGTGAGCTCTCCAACTCCTGGCTCCTTTCTTTAGTCTCCAGGAAGAATCGGATCTTCTCACTGCAGTTTAACCAATCTTACTCACGGAACAGAAAGATTTAGAAGTGTTTTGAGATAAAACACTTTTTGAAAAATTAAACCAAAACAATATCAATCTTTCGGCCAAAATACCTATTCAGGATTTAGTTTATAATTGAAATGGTCAAGTAGTAAACAGTAAAAGTTATGCGCGTTATGCGTCAATATTTCCATAATAAAAACAGGTTAGTTTGTAAATGAAACAGTGCGGTAAGATTGTATTTCCTGAAACCGAATCTCTTGTTGAGAATGTTTACAACATTCCCGAACTCACTCTCATCCCAGCCAGAGGAGAAATGGGCGAGGACGGTCGCCAATCCGTTCACGTGAAGCAGTGTATTCCATTCATCCGTTACAATAGGGTTACCAAGAGTATAGTTCCTAAATACAGGGAGTAATTGTTACCATAGGTTTACCCAGAGTATAGTTCCAAAATACAGGGAGTAACTGTTACCATAGGTTTACCCAGAGTATAGTTTCTGAATACATGGAGTTGGTTATCATAGGGTCACCCAGAGTATAGTTCCTGAATACAGGGAGTTGGTTATCATAGGGTTACCCAGAGTAAAGTTCCTGAATACAGGGAGTTGGTTATCATAGGGTTACCCAGAGTATAGTTCCTGAATACAGGGAGTTGGTTATCATAGGGTCACCCAGAGTATAGTTCCTGAATACAGGGAGTTGGTTATCATAGGTTTACCCAGAGTATAGTTTCTGAATACAGGGAGTTGGTTATCATAGGGTCACCCAGAGTATAGTTCCTGAATACAGGGAGTTGGTTATCATAGGGTTACCCAGAGTATAGTTCCTAAATACAAGGAGTTGGTTATCATAGGGTTACCCAGAGTATAGTTCCTGAATACAGGGAGTTGGTTACCATAGGTTTACCCAGAGTACAGTTCCTAAATACAGAGCGTTGGTTGCCATAGGGTTACCCAGAATATAGTTCCTGAATACAGGGAGTTGGTTACCAAAGGGTTACCCAGAGTATAGTTCCTGAATACAGGGAGTTGGTTGCCATAGGTTTACCAAGAACTGTTCCTGAATACAGGGAGTATGGTTACCAAAGGGTTACCCAGAGTATAGTTCCTGAATACAGGGAGTTGGTTGCCATAGGTTTACCAAGAACTGTTCATGAATACAGGGAGTTGGTTAACAAAGGGTTACCCAGAGTATAGTTCCTGAATACAGGGAGTTGGTTGCCATAGGTTTACCAAGAACTGTTCCTGAATATTGCGGGTTGAGTTTAACAATTAAAAAATAATTTCTTATGAAGTAGGAAAGTACCAAATCAATAATCATCCTCACACCTTCAAATCTAAATCTGAATTAATACATTGTTTCTAGTTTTCCCCTGTATTTATTAATCTTTACCAAGGTGATTTATTTGGACATTTATTTGCACCGGTTTATATTACTATATATTTAGTGTCAAAGATACTCTCGCCGTTTACCCGCGCTCGGTATTAAATTACGATTTTAGGTGAAGTACCCCGGAGTACACATGGGTTCCCTAAAAAAATCTATTTGGTCCCTATTTAGCCAGCAATTGCGAACACTCACAGCAATAAAATGGAAAATAATCTGTGTTTTACTTAAAAGATATATATATATGTTTATATTCATGATGTACAAGTAAATAAACCTGAATTTGTCAACCCAAGAATCTAGTAGAACCATCCTTTTAACCGTTCCATGCAACATCGTCAACCTCTGAACAATCAACATCTTTATCATTTAGCTCTAGTGGAATATGAAAGATAAAACAAAATAATTTCAAACCAGGATGAAATACAAAGATAAGTCAACCTTACCATTTAATTTTTTTTTGTATTTACTATAAATAACTCTGCTCATGACTCTTGATAGCAACAAGGTTTAAAAAGTCATAAAAAAAAAATAAAAGAAAGTTTTGAAAATTGTTTTTGTCATATAATTTGAAAATATTTTTTTATCTATTCTAACTTTTTAAAGTTCCACTATGTAATGATTTTAAAGATTTCCCTTGGCGAAAACTGCAAAGTTTTTGCAGATTCCGATCCATGTCTGATACTCCCAGTCCGAGCTGATCGTCTTGAAGATCCTTGTTCCTGCGTGCTTAATACCTGCACTCGTCTCAATCCAACACAAGATCTTGTTCCTATTCAAATCAAATCATATATTCAACTGTGGTAAAATGGTGAGATACATTTAAAATAATAACATCAGTATATAGTCATATACCTTAGATATTTCAAGCTACGAATTATGTTGGATCAAATATTCTTACGACATCATGTTGCAAAGATTTAGGGACTAGAAAATTTGAGTTTGTGACAAAGACGGTATTTTCTCTTCTTTTGTTTACATTATTTGAAAGCAGACGCCTCATTTACCATTCAGCGATTATAAATGTTTTTATATCTCATTGGTGGACACTAAACGCATCCTGAAATACCGAGACCTCTATTGTTTTATACAGGGTGTCCCAATAAACATGGGAATTGAGTGACGAATTCGAGATCGTCTTTGTTAAGAGTTAGCATTGTAATACAGGGTGTCCCACGAAACATGACAGTATGCAGGACGACTTGAATGTCGTCTTGATTTTTGATATAATTTGCTGCGTTTATTTGTCAACCTAATTTTAGAAGTAAATTTCTAGAGAAAATAATCACAAAATTTCCCTAATCCTGCCATTTCCAAAATTTGGTCTGCCTTTTTTGTGCTTTCAATATTGCCGGAGATATGAAAAATTTCGTTCAGATTTCGACAATTTTGCTTTTATTTAACAAAATTGAAATCTGAACCAAACTCTTTATATCTCCGGTAATATTGAAAGCACAAAAAACTCAGACCACTTTTTGGAAATGCCAGGGCTAGGAGAATTATGTGATAATTGTTTCAAGAATCATACATGTTAAAGTAGATAGATAGAAGACTAAACGTCACAAATAAATTCAAATATCAAAGACGACTTTCAAGTCGTCTTCCAATTGTCATGTTTCGTGGGACACCCTGTACCTGATTATAAAAGCCATAATATTTATATGTCTGCTAGAGTTTATTTTATGAAAACAGAAAATGGCTGTAAAGATCCGTCTGTATGTCTCTGTAAGATGGACAGTGAATACGGACAAGTTTACTCTGTATGTATACTACAATTTCCTTATTTTACTAAGTACAACCGTATGCAGTCAAAACATAAACAAACAAAATGTAAACATAGCAGACGAAACTCTTACAGATTACAGCTTTCTCAGTAGGTATCACTATATCAAATCAAAGAATTATCTAAAAGGACGATATCGAAATCGTCACCCAGTTCCCATGTTTCTTGAGACACTCTGTACCTGAAGCTGTTGGCCGTGAGAGCCAGGTTCCCTATATCTCTCACAGGAATATATTTGAGGATAGCGAAGAACATCTCGGTAGGCAGGTTCTCCAGGTGGCAGGTTGTATCTACGGCAGGGCTTATCCTCAACTTCTTTCTCCTTGGCTGATAATCCATCTTTAAATTCTTCCAACAAGATAAAATATTGTTAATATATTTGTCGATCCCTACCTGACACAACAACGCAAATATTAAAAACATAAAAATACCACAAACTACAAAAAGTCAAGGTTTACAGTTTTTACATTTAGGATTTTTAACAACTACAGATCAGTAAATATTTGTGCTAAGGATTTGAACCGGCGGTAGTTACTTCAGCGACCTCTCATTCATTAAATTCGATCTCTGGTCTCGATCAGTTTTTTTAATATGGCACAATTCTACAAATGTAATTAAGACTCTGATTTCGATCACTTTGTACAGGGTGTCACAAAAAACATGGGAATAAGGTGACGACGTCTCTAGTCATTGCTCCGTGTGACATTATTACATAAACATAATTAATGGTAGCATTCCAGTTAAAAAAGGTTAATAATTAAAACTATTGTGGTTTAAAAAAATCTGCCCAGATTCTAGTTTAATAACAACGAAATATTTCAAATTTTCAATATCTCCGTCAAGTTTGAAGGAGGTAGACCAAAGCTCATTTGTCATTTATCAACTATACGGAAATCAAAGACGATTTTCATGCAGTCTCTTATTTCCCATGTTGATTGGGACACCCTGTACAACGAACAAAATATAAACTACTCGGCGATATCATTTAGGTTTTAACTACACACTAATTTATGGTTAAATTTATTTATCACTTTCTTATTATTATCCTTTGTTCTAATAGAATGAGGGTAATTTTAGCTTGCTATTGAACTCAAACATAGGTATTTTCAACCAGAGTTTGTTATTACTTTCAGTTTTTGACATAGTTTTATATTTACAATTGTTATGATGTACATATATATATATATATATATATATATATGTAAATTAGTACACTAAAGTATTGATATCTTAACAAGAAATAAACTGCATAAATAAACGGGAATACGAATTATAACATGAAGGACGAAGGTACTTGGAATCCATGACCTGACGCAGATGAAAATATTGCAAAAAAAATATTATTTTTTCCATCATCCAAAAAGTATTGTTCAGTTTTTATGCATTTTGAGTTTTTTTTTTAAGCGGAAGCAACTTGAAATGGGCGTCAAGTTCTAAGATATTCTTTCACTTATCATGCAATGTCGTAAATTGTAGAAAGAAAACTGCAACATAAACCTTAAATCTGAAGAGCGCTCTCAACGCCCTCTGTCTGTATTAGTCACCAGGTTTTAGAAGCTAGGTTGGAACGATATTGAGTTTTCTTTTCAATTATTACTCAAGGTATCGATTAGAACTGACGGTAATAAACATTTCTCTAGAGTGGTTGGATTCTCTAATTAAGAGATGATTATGAAAAATATGAAGGGATCACAGCTAATTATTTTCAACCAGAGAGTGGTCGGAGCTCAACCCGAACCTTCTCCTGAGAACTCATCATTCCCACTGTAGGATAAAAACCTCCTTTTGGGAGAAAAACGTCCTTCTTTCCGATAACTTTCCCGTTTCTGGTGAAAAACACTTGAATTTTCTCTCCTTGTTTATTATTGGGTTGCCAGTAATCATCTTCATCCCCGCTATCTGTCTCCTCCCCTAGACTATATACAACCTCCTGGAGACTCTCTCCCTCCTCCTCCTCCTCACTATCAGACCTAAACTCATAATCTCGTGGGAAGAGAACTCCGCAACCCATAATATCTCCTTTATTGCATCTAGGTCCGAAAGGATCACCAACTCCGCTCCCCATGAACACCTGAACAGTGAAAATGTAGTTCATAATGTCCGTACAAGTCTCTGTAAACAAAGGTAAAAATCCTGTATTCTCTACCCCGTCTAATATCAAATATTCACGTTTTAAGACAATGTTGTCGTAATGTTTAAGTGACCACATTTAACGAGTTACATGCCCTATTCACAACAGTACCCTTTAAACCTTTATCAAAATAATTAAGAGAAAATTTGACAAAACCTATTGCTTTCAAAGATAGAAATACGACGATATCGCCTTCATTCGGACTCAAAAAAGGGTAAAAATGGTTGTTGAAAATGTAAAAACATCCCCAATTATCAGAAAACAATTGCCATCAATCAATAAAAATAGCCATTAATGAATATTTTTTTGTCTTGAATTATCTCACCTTTCCATCGTCTGCATGATAGGCTATACTTCCTTTATTCCAGCCAGGGTGTCTGTTCTTAGGATAATCCTTCCTAGCTAATCCGATAGCAATATAGCAGTTGGATCCAGGATCTATAATCTCTATTTCAAAATAATGTGATCTAGTGCAGAGCGGAGTTTTGGCTTGAGCTAATCCAACATCTATTAAAGATTTTCCTCGGCCAACATATTCTGAAATATTATGGTTTGACAAATTAACACACTGAGATAAGAATGAGAGCATTGGGTTTAAAAGTAACTTTATTAGTAAATTTTCTACATTTGAAAACTTCTCAAATAAGCATTTTTTTACAAAAGATGGGGTGGATTATAAAATGTAAAAACTTGTAATAATAAGGAAAGAAGCTGACAACTGAAAACCTCGGAGAAACATCGTTTTATATGAATATCTATTATCAATGGGATGTGTGAAGGAAAGCTAAAACTTTCAGCGCGAAGCGCAGGTTTTACCTAACAGTTGGCCGTTGAGCCTAATATCATGTAACCGGTGCCATTCCTCCTCCCCAGAGTCAATAGACATTGCAACATCATCTTCAGGGTTCCATACCAGATCCATCATTAACCTAACCTAGAATATAAATACACGAATCATCTTCAGGGTTTCATACCAGATCCATCATTAACCTAACCTAGAATATAAATACAGGAATCATCTTCAGGGTTCCATACCAGATTCATCATTAACCTAACCTAGAATATAATTACAGGAATCAACTTCAGGATTCCATACTAGATCCAAAATCAACCGAACCTAGAATATAATTACAGAAATCATCTTCAGAGTTCAATACCAGATCCATCATTTACCTAACCTAGAATATAAATACAGGAATCATATTCAGGGTTCCATACCAGATCCATCAATAACCTAACCTAGAATATAAATACAGGAATTATCTTCAGGATTCCATACTAGATCCATAATCAACCGAACCTAGAAAATAATTACAGAAATCATCTTCAGGGTTCCATATTAGGTCCATCATTAACCGAACCTAGAATATAAATACAGGAATCATCTTCAGAGGTCAATACCAGATTCATCATTAACAGAACCTAAAATGTAAATACAAGAATCATCTTCAGGGTTCCATACTAGATCCATCATTAAACGAACCTAGAATATAAATACAGGAATCATCTTCAGGGTTCCATACTAGGTCCATCATTAACCGAACTTAGATTATAAATACAGGAACATCTTCAGGATTCCATACTAGGTCCATCATTAACCCCAACCTAGAATATAAAAGCAGGAATCATCTTCAGTATAATATTAGATTCATCGTTATCCTAACCTAGGAATCCATACCAGATCAATCATTATTCATTAACCTATAATGAACATACAGATCAAGATCAAGATCAAGATCAAGATCAAGATCAAGATCAAGATCAAGATCAAGATCAAGATCAAGATCAAGATCAAGATCAAGATCAAGATTAAGATTAAGATTAAGATTAAGATCAAGATCAAGATCAAGATCAAGATCAAGATCAAGATCAAGATCAGGATCAGGATCAAGATCAAGATCAAGATCAATAAGACTAAGACTAAGACTAAGCCCAATAATGAGGAAGACAATAACACTAGTGTTGTATGATTGACCACTGCACCCTGTATTGAAAATATATTCCTTAACCCTAGTGTTGTATGATTGACCACTGCACCTTGTATTGAAAATATATTCCTTAACACTAGTGTTGTATGATTGACCACTGCACCCTGTATTGAAATTATATGCCTACCTCCTCAGGTTCCTTCTGTAGACCAAAGGCCGGAAATAAACCTCCTGGAGGACACGGCATGAACGTTGTACAAATCTAAAAAAAGATTAATAGCTCAATGGATTTTATTTGCATACAAAGAGCAAGTGATTTAAATCCTAGATCCATCGTTTGAAAAAATGATTCCGGAACCACGTCATAAAAATATTTCTTGAAATTTTTCTTCTAGAGGAATTGATTAATCGTCACAAACTCTACTTTTCTAATACCTTTATTTTTCCAACCTGGTGTTGAAAAAATTATTTCAACCGTGGGCTTTTTTCTCTATCAGAGTTCTAGTTTGAAAAATTAAGATTGCAAAGATAACTTTTTTGCAAAGAAAATCAAAATGTTTGGCGAGTAATCAGTTTTCTTTTAACATAAAAAAACTTTTTTATTTTTTTGATTTTCATTTTCCGAACCCTGATTGTCTTATGAGAGAAACAGAAGACTTTTATCGATCTCTTAAAAGTCAACACGCGAGATTTATGTTTGAGAACAAAAAGTAGCTTGGTTAATATTTTGTCTCGTGGGTCCGCATATATTTGCAGTTCAGGTTTAAATTCTAATCACGGTAAAGGTTTATTGGTCCTCTTACGTTTATTTTGTAACAACTAACAAATTGAACTAAAATTAGAACCAGGGTTGTATTTTCCAGGGTTATAACATCCCCCCCCCCCTGCACCTTGCTGAGGTAAGATTTTTTTTTCTTTGGTGGTATTTATTGAATCTGATGGATCCAATATATATAATCATAATATTATTCCCCCAATTCTGTGTTATATAAACCCCTGATACATATAAATATTCTTATCAAATTAGGATTCAATTATTACTAATAGTAACGGCGTATGCAATATATTATGAATGCTTAGGGGAAAACCATGGAGAAGAAACGCCGAAGCTGAACTGAAAGGGACTGACATTATGTGACACATCACATTAGCTTAAAAGTTGCATGATAAGAACCAGTACAAGGATGCCGGTCTAGTCTTTTACGTACCGGCCGGTCTGGTGTACCGAGTAGGTGGATGATTTTTTTGTTAGTTATTGCTGTATGTTACAGTACTCGCGCCTCAGTTGGAATTTTTTTTGTTGTGGGGGGGGGGGAGATATTTACAATTTGATTTATAAAAGTAAATGCAATTACCTCTTTTCCGTTTTTAGTGAAGAAAACTGGGATTAAGGAAACATTTAATCCTGAGATATTTTCAAATTTTACTCCACATCCGACCCTGTCTCCGGTCATGAACTTTCCTCCGTTAACTTGACCTCGTGGTCGACCCTAAGTAAATATGTTTACAACCTATTGTATAAGATCTCAATAATTATTTTCATCAAATGTCTAGGATTCACTTCTTCTGATCCTCTGTTAAAGTGAATTTGTTTAACTCTGGTCAATATTGCAAGGATTACTATAATTGTTCATAATCCATTCCAGTTTTATCCGGATCTGGAATCCTGAGAAGAGGCAAATCTAGCAACGTAAGAGGCATTTAATTTTTTTGAGAAAAAATCTGTCCAACTTTAAATCTTGGTTTAAGACAAATTATTTATCGTTGTAGAGCAAGATAAACGACTGTAAACACTTTCCTTGTAAATTTTTCCATCTGCTGTGTTTAATCCTATACTCTCACCACTCCAACCTAAAATAACAATGTAACAGTAACAGTAACAGTAACAGTAACAGTAACAGTAACAGTAACAGTAACAGTAGCAGTAACAGTAACAGTAACAGTAACAGTAACAGTAACAGTAACAGTAACAGTAACAGTAACAGTAACAGTAACAGTAACAGTAACAAATATAAAGTTAACAGTAATAACGATATTGGTAAGAACGATGACGATATTGATTTTAGCTCTAAACTCTAAAAAATGTTCGATAGACATCAGACATTACACAGGTCAAAAAGATATAAGAATGGGTTTCTAACATAATAAATGAATAAATCGTTAAGAACAACCAAAACTCAAAATATTTACATGGACAGCAATATGGGTAGATTTAGAAGTGGCAGTAAATTAAGTAAAACTTTTTGTAATTTTTCTTCTCATGATTCAAGATTGAAAAATCCCATCAAGTCATAGATTTACCTGGTAAAAGATCTAAAGGATATTTATGAGAGCAAAGTCCTATTATTGGTCCACAAACAGGTACTCCCGAGTTACCAGCATTCACTAGTTCAAGCTCAAAGTAAGGTTTCTCCGGGCTCAATGGTATCCCTGCTATAAAGGTACCCGGAGATCCTTTATCCCCAGCGTACTTGAAGTTGTTCTCGGTTTGGATAAGGCGTTCCAGTCTGGGTTTTAATTCTTCCTCGGGCGGAAGTGCAGCCTAAAAAATAGGATAAAAAATGTTTTAATTTTGTCAATCAGTTGAGTTCTACCCGGAGTGAGGAAAAAGATAGAAATCTAAATACTCCTTTTTTATTTACATTTCATTTCTCTGCCCCGAGTCTTCCCTGTCCGACCTTTTGATTTCATATTTTCTTGTTTCCCCTGACGGAGCTGACGGAGCGGGGAGGCGAGGAAGAATAAGGAACTACTGGTTGTATAAAACTGACCTGTCTATACACAGGAGGTCTGTCTCCGTCCCTCACCCTCTCTCTCCCGTGGAAATCAAAGAAAGGAGGGGCAGGGAACAGAACCTGGGATATACAGCTATCATATACAGGGGTTCATATCTTCAAAACTTAACCCTTTAAAAGGGAGACTTGGGAGTGTATTGACCAAAAACAAACAGTTCATTTAAAATGGTCAATTTTTTCCAAATAAAGAAAATATACACCCCTTCTAATATTCACAAATACTAATAGCTAAATGGTTGAACAATAAGAAATACTTCGATAAAAAAGTAAGAAACGCAGTACCCATTTAGACATCGCATTCAACTTAGGGCTAAAATACGTTTTCAAATGAATTTATTTAAACTTTGAAGGATTTACTATAATGCAAAACTTATAGAAACTAAATAAAACATTTTGACTTCGCTTTCCCAAACCCTATTAATATTCAGACTGTACTAATCAATAATAAAAACTTCTAAAAGACAGATATCTAGAAATTACGAATGAAAGATCACTAATCATTAAAATAATGATAACCATGTTGTTGGAAATTCAGCATAAAAAATCGTATGAAAAGCATGCCCTTTTTATTTCGAGAAACTTACTAAAGTTTAACTAACTAATTTGCAATCGCAAAAAATAAAAAAAATAAGTAATTTTACTAAATACAAAGTGCATTAATAATGGATTCATTTTGGAATTTAGTTACATATATTAACAGACCCTTTAATCAAAGTTTACTATCTCCTATTACTAGTACCTGGAGTTGTGCTCTAATATCCCGATCAAACACTGCCTGTCCTAAATGAACAGGAATATCTCTATTTGCTCGCTCTGCTCGTTGTCTGATAATTGCCACTATTTGATCCCTGCTTGCCGGCTGGATCAGCCGGTGGTCCATAACACAATCTGAAATTAGAAAATTATTTTTCATTCTTCCTCCAAAATAATTTTTGGAAAATTAACTTTTTCTTCAAGAATTTTTGCTAGTTTTAGCAATTTAAGATCGGAGCCGTAAGGACCAATTATTTGAACACTTAAGGGTAAAGATCGACTAGAGAGTTTGACCGGAACGGTTACAGCTGGCAGGCCGGCCAGGTTTACAGGTTGCGTACAATGATCTTGTTTAGCTGTCTGGGTTCGATTATCCTCCTTGATATAGTCGGAGTAGCTCGGGGCATCTGATAAACAGACAGGAGTCACGAGAAAATCAACCTCGTCCCAACAGTTGAGAAAATCATTAAGAATAAGTCGGCGGATTTTTAATCCTTGCAGAAAATATTCATCGTAATGTTTCTTTAATAGAAAATAGTTTCCAGCAAGTATCCGTCCTCGAACAACCTCGTTAAATCCAGAGGAACGAGAACTTGCATACAACGCGTCGGTCGAGGATTCGTCCTCACCCCTCAATCCAAATTCGAGGCCGTCATACCTCGCCATATTGCTGGCGACCTCGCAGGGGTTGAGGACGGAGTAGCAAGGAACAGCGAGGCTAGTATGAGGTAAAGATGTTGAAACTATTCTAGATCCAGAGTATTCTAAAATATCACAAACCTCACTTAAACTCTGGAGAACCTCGTCCGTCATCCCTTCACAATAATATTCACGCGGAACTCCAAATTTAACTTTATTTAAATTTATTTCCTCGTCGGAACAATTAAACTCTACTGTTGTTGAATCCATTATATCACGGCCACAAAGGACTCTGAAAAAAGTATCTAAATCCTGAACTGTTCTTGCCATGAGTCCTGGCACGTCTAAACTGTTAACTAGTGGGATAAGACCATGTCTGGATACCAGACCGTAACTAGGTTTAATACTAGTAATACCACACCAAGCAGCCGGTATCCGCACACTTCCTCCAGTATCAGAGCCTAGACCGACAACAGCTGCTCCGGCTGCAACAGCAACCGCTGATCCTCCACTACTTCCTCCAGCAACAGCCCAGGTTCCATCTAGTCCTCCAGTCTCTCCAACATCATTTCCATTCACATCCTGGAGCCTGTATTTTATTCCACTTCTCCAAATATTCCTCGTTGGTCCGTAGAATGAATCTGTTGTTCCGCTTCCCATTGCAAACTCGTCAAGATTTGTTTTACCGATTATAATACCTCCGGCGTTAATTGATTTTTCAACCACCGTAGCATTGTACGGAGATACAAAATTATCCAACATCAAGGATGCACATGTCGTCCTGGTTCCTTTCACGCAGAAATTATCTTTCACGGCGACAGTTAATCCCTCTAACGGTCTAGGTGTTGACTCAGTTCTGTATTTGTCTGATATTTTAGCTGCCTCCAAAGCCTCATCTCGGCACTCTGAGATAAATACATTGAGATCTTTAATGAGATCCAACCGTCGTAATGTTGACTCCAGTAAGGTCACAGAGCTAAGGGTTCCATTTCTAAACTGTCGATTCAGTTCTTTAAGAGAAAGATGAAGCATCTGAAAAATAGCATAATTCTTATAAATAGTAATAAATTAAATATCACAGTTTATAACCCGTCATCATATACTACTAAGAACACTAAATATTAATTTCATAAGTTGTCGTCATCCCAGTTTTAAAATCCTGGAGCAAGATCTCTGTTTTTTCCTCCCGCAAGACAGGTTCGGGTCTATCCTGCTCCGCTAGGACGGATCTGCTTCTCTCCTCCGCGAGCTGCTGTATCTCGGCCTTAGTGGGCGCGCTCTGGAGCTTGATGCACTGCTTTTTCACCTCGTCCTTCTCCACTAGTAAGTGCATGGCACGTAAATGATATTTGACGTTCTTGATTCTTTTGAAGTTCTTTCTACAGATCCCGCAGGACCAGTACATGGTATCGTAGTGAGAGATCATATGACATTTCAAGGTTTCATCGGTGAAGAAGGTTTTTGGGCACAGAGGACAGGATAAAGTTCTAAAATAAAAAAGTTATATTATTGTTATTTTTTGGCTTTTAAAAAAAACTTACTTGACTCCATTATGAGAATTCATATGCTGGGTCCATTCTCGTCCACCCACAGTCAGAAACTTACGTCCACATAAATCACATGAACCGGCGTGAAACTTCTCATGTACAACTCTCACATGTCGGAGCATGTCATTTTTAGTAAAGAACTTCTTCCCACATTCCTTACAAGGATGCATGGGCTCTGCAGAATGTCTCTCCATGTGTCGCATTTTCTCCGGTTTACGAACAAACTTCTTCTGGCAAATCTCGCATTGAAAGGGTTTCTCCGCCTGGAGATGATAGTAGAGAACATGAGTTTTCAGTTTAGCAGATGACGAATAACATTTCCCGCATTCCTCGCACACAAACACAGGTTTAGACTGTTGACTATGCTCTATGTTATGTACTTTTAGATCGGCTTTAGATGAAAATGTTTGATTACAGGTTGTACATCTAAATTTTAATTCCTTCAAGTGTATTCGTTTAATGTGGATTTTTAGCGCCGCTTCGGTAGAAAATGGTTTCAAACATTTATCACATTTAATTGTCTTAGTGTGAGTTTTAGTATGCTCTTCTAACTCCGAAATGGTTGCAAAAACTTGTGCACACGTCTTACAAACAAATCCGTGGACGGAGAGATGCTGTTTTAATGCAACCCTGGAGCTACACTTCTCTCCGCAGGTGGAGCAGCTGAACACGTCCGACTCCGAATGGAAGTTTAATTTATGTTTCTCTAGAGTTAAAGGATTTCGGAGTTTTTTGTTGCAAATATCACACTCGATATAATTTCCTTCTAAATGCTGAAAGGAATGAATATTTAACGCTTTCTTTGATCTAAAAACTTTTTCACATTTAGAGCATTTCCATCCAAGCTTCTTAGAACCTTGATCTGTCTCCGATGAGTTGAGTGCCACTCTCTCCGTGGTGTCATGTTTCACACGAATATGTTTATCTAGAAGCTCGGATAAACCGTAAACCTTGTCGCATAGGTTGCAAGGTTTGGCTAGCTCCGGGTGGCAATTTAATATGTGGTTATCCAGAGTATATTTGTTAATTTGGACCTAGTAGTACAAGAATAATAAACGATTTTTTCAAGAAACAATTGCGAGAAAGAAGACAGCTGAAAATGGAAACAGTGATAAGTAAATCGATTATATTCTTTCCTTATTACAGTGTTTGCAAACAACTTTTCTCCTCGATTTAAACAATTTTTTGTTTAAATTGTCTTCACACGCTTCATCTAAAACATATAAGTTATTCTACTCTGGAGGATTAAAAAAAAAATTTTGGAAGAAAAAATGACAAAGCTAACAAAATTATAGAGAAAGTATATTCCTATGTGATCGATAGATGGAACCTTTATTATCAAGTTTATAATCAGAATCTGAGAGATTCTCGTCAGGGTCTAGTTCAGTGAATTCCGGAGCTAACTCATCCTTCTGGAGCCCCTGTAGATACAAGGACACGGAGACAACATCTACAGATTCCTTCTTGTATACTCCGGTCAACCGGCAGATTATCTCAGGGAGAATTAATCCTTCCTAGAACATAACATACATTTCGATACGGACGTTGGTAATCATTATAAGATGGTTTTGAGTTGGGACTTCTCAAAGATTAAAGGAATTGAGTTTGTGCCACAAACTCAAATTTTCTAATCCCTATATCTTTGCGACCTGATGGTGTAATCCTTCGACATTTTAAAGATAGATTATTTGATCTAACAGAATTTATAGTCTGAAATAAATAATAACTACGACATTGGGCTGCATAGAATTATGATTTATGTTGCGGGTTAATCCGACAACACGAAAGAAATCGACAACTGTCACGATTTATAAATAAGGAAAATAAAGCAAGGGTATAGTAATTCTTGATGTATAATGGCTTCGTTCATCGTGGGATCCGTCATAGTGAACGATTTTTGGACCCCCCCCCCCTCAATTTTGTACAAGACGAAATTAGTAAATTATTAATTTATTGATATTTAGGGTTAGGTTAGACACTATCTGGGCCGAGCGCTGCGGCCAGGACATGCTAGAAGCCGACCACTGCGGCCACGGGTTGGGTTAGTTAAGACACTTGGGTCTGTCCTAGTATACGATTTTTGGACCCCCCCCGCCCCCCCCCCTCCTATCAATTTTGTACATGACCATTTATTTTTCAGCAAATTTATTATTATTTATTTTTTTGTTATTTAGGGTTAAGTTTGGTTAAGAGAAGGCCGAGCGCTGCGGCCACACTTTCTGGGCCGAGCGCTGCGGCCACGGGTTAGGTTATTATTATTTATTTTTTTGTTATTTAGGGTTAGGTTAGGAGAAGGCCGAGCGCTGCGGCCACACTTTCTGGGCCGAGCGCTGCGGCTAGGATGGGCTAGGGGGCCGAGCGCTGCGGCCACGGGTTAGGTTAAGTTAAGACACTTCCTGTCAGACCCATGTACAAAATTGATAGGAGGGGGGGTTCAAAAATCGTATACTAGGAAATTACCAAACACTTTCTGGGCCGAGCGCTGCGGCCTCATGGTCAATTATATCCGTCTGACATGCAAGATCCATGTACAAAATCGATAGGGGGGGGGGGTCCAAAAATCGTTCTCTAGGAAATTATCTAATTGTGTGACATAATCAAAATGTTTTAACAACATATCAATAGGAAACATTTTTCTAATAGTTCAGATTACTCAAAGTTTCGGAATATCTTATGGATTAGAAATCGGATAAAGTCGAACCTGGAAGAGGAACCAGGATATAATCTTCATCTGTGTATCTAAAGGAACAGAGCTGAGCTCTCCAAGATTATCTCCATTCTTAAAATCTTCAAACGTCTCTTCTAGCATATTAACTGAAGATGGCATCAATCAGATCGTCAGAAGTAAAAAAATGTTAACAACAAGTTTCACGAAAACTTAATTTAATAAAAATCCCATTTAATAATCCAATAAAGCTAAATATTTTCTTAAATAAACGAGAAGTGTTTAAGTTTAATAGATTTTACAATTTAGTTTGCCTTGCGTCTTTCATTACTGTAAGATGTAAATATCGGGGAATGCCGCAAATTATTCTGTTTGCCAAAACTGTAAATTTTGGAAACTCTATTATCACAATTGATATTGCTATTTTGTACAAATCGTTCAGTCCAATTGAGAACCACAAGAACGCGATTATGTGCGTGTTCTGATTTCCAATGTGAATAATCCTGTAAGAATGCTCGTAAACATAAGAGGTGCAATTATAATCTTAAATATAAATATATTTTATAGTTAACTTTTTCAACTGTACTTTTACATATAGTATGTTAATTATCACAGTATTTAAACGATTTATAAAATTAATAATTAAAGTTAGCAATAGACCTAAAATAATGAAGGGGTCAATATTTTTTTCCTGAAATCAAATGATTGAAGTTATACAATGGTTCAATTTTAGTTTCAGATTAATAACCCAGCCCCCTTCAACAATATAAACCACTAGATAAACATTAAACGAAGTGTTTAATCCAAGAAAATTTGTTAAGTTCTTGTTGATTGTCGTCTAAAGCTCACTGTACTATTCTCCTAGCCTATTCTTCCGAACCTGGAGGACTTGCACTGCAGCTACCGCCTAAACAACACTTATAATAGATTTGATATCATAGCTAGGATATCAGGAACAGGATGAGACTATGACGAGCGGGGGAAGGAAGGCCGCCATAAGCCACAACATTTCCCCCTTCCATGCCACATATTAGCTTTTTTGTCTTCCGGCAGCCATAAGCCACAACCGTGCGGTCTTCAATGGCACAAGATTTGAGTCTTCCAGCAATTATTACGTTTTAAATGATAAATATAGAGCATTGAAATTATGATTTTCAAAAATTAAGCCACGTCATAAAAAAGATATCTATAAAGATATTTATATTTAAGTATTAAATTGAAATAATAATGATTCCTTTTATTGTAAACTGCTAAACTTATTTATCCCCAAAAATAAATTCAAACTTTCCTCTAAAATGGTTTGTTTTTGAAAATATTATTGACAAAAAAGAATGCACCATAACATACTCTTTAAGTTTAAAGAGCGCCAATAACCTAAAATTTGCAATATTTAAAGAGAAAATCGCAATATCGATTTTTTTGCGTAAAATGATGTTAAATCTTCTTTGTAAATTGTAAGGCAGTTTATCAACTGAACAAACAATTCATTTATCTTTAACAAACTTCTGAAATTTCTTAAAGGTAACATATTTCGCGTAATGTGGCTGGATTTATAAAAAAAAAACAATCTCAATGCACGAAATTTATCATTTAAAACGTAATAATTGTTGAAAGACTCAAATGCTGTGACATGAAAGACCGCACGGTTGTGGCTTATGGCTGCCGGAAGATAAAAAAGCTAATATGTGGCATGGAAAGGGAAAATGTTGTGGCTTATGGCTGCCTGCCTTCACACGCTCCCATGACATGAACTAGTTCAGTGACATTACATTTTTTGTACAGATTAAAACATCTCGAAAAATATATTGGCGCAGAAATTCTTGTGAAATATCTTTGTGGCCTAAATCGTCCAATCACGACCTTTAGATTGTTAAGCAGATTGACCTATCCATTGACTCAGACAAACTATATGCGTAATTTTTACAAAAAACATTTCCAACAGATAACAGGCTTTTTTTTCTTAGTTTTAAGTCCTCCATAGCTGGGAATTTTTGTACTGTGGATATCTAAATCAATCCTTGATCTCGATCTTATGTTAATCATTTAATATTGATATGATCAACTTTTTATGTTTCGACTAGAAACTATATTTATATATTATACTTTATTCTTGTTTTTATCTTATCATATTGTACCATTTTACCTTTGTGTACGAAATAAATCTATAATAATAATAATAATTTATTCGATCTCCTGCATTCTAAAAGCTAGCCAAGGGTTAAAGGGAGCTTGGATCAAGGGAAGAATAACTGAAATGCAGATATACGGATAGGTATAAATTCTTATAAATCCTCAATTTAAAAGTGCCTATAATGGATATCGAGATCAAGCGATCAGGATTATGAGTATCCGAAACAAAAGTTCCCAGTCAGCTCAGTTATTTAACCTAAAATGGTAATAAGATATGGGATTAAAGTTCAAGTCCAGAACAAAATTAGTCTCCAGACCTTGTTTTATCTCTAGAGGATCTAGAGCTAACTAATCTTAATTGAAGCCCCCCCCCATAAATACCTGAGTGGACAAAAGCTGTAGTTCTTGATTCTCCAGTGTTTCCGTTAACCAGAGGAACAGTGCCAGGGTTTCCGCTAAGGATGAATCTGCAACATTCCCAGATAAACTTCTTCTAGCCGCTAACTCAGTAATCAGTTCACTAGACACAGCAGCCAATCTTCCTGGATCAGAAACCTGAAATAAACAAAATGGAGAATTTAGAATTTGATGAACTGAAACTTTTTTTTGACTTAAAGCAAATTTGTATTCTTTCAATGCTTTCTATATTATTTCGCCCCCCTGGCTGGGAGATTCTTAAAAATATATATACCCATGTAAATATATTCTTAATACCTGATATAGATATTTAGCAAGCCTAAGCAGTGCAACCTCTAGAAGCTTGACTGCAATCTTCTCCTTCTCTCCAATACTACTCCTGAGCTCTGCTCCGAGAGAATCGAACCCTGCCTTGAAGAGAGCTAGACACTGATAAACCCGAACCTCCTCTGACATGAACCAGATTTTCCCCAGCTGTAGGATGATACTGTATAAATGTCTGTACTGCTCTGTATCCAGCTGGTTGTCGGATACCCTGTGAATATATCCTGTACTTTTATCCGTCACTAGCTCTGTCCAGTTCAATCTCCCCTTCTTTACACTAGCGTTGTAATCACTGAACCAGGAGATCATAGCAGCGGACTGAATACTCAGCAGGTTGTTAATTTCTACTGAGTTGAAGACCTTGAGAGGACAGACTGGAAGCTTGAGTTTCCAGGTGAGGAAAAGAACTGCTGCAACCTGGTGTTCAAGGGAGAGAATATCAGGATCAGGAAATCCTGTGTTCTTGATATGATCGAGAAGATGAAGATGTTTGTTCATGTTTAAACTGTCATAATCACAGATTATTTCCCCTGGTTCCACGTGTTTCATCAGATCCAAGGTTTTATCAATAAATCCTAGAAGAATATTGAGAAGGGAAGGGATGTTTTCTACCTGGAGTCCAAACTCTTTCTCACAAACCACCTTCTCATTGCAGGTAGTTTTCTTAAACTCGTCAGTTCGCTTCACAAGATCTCGGAACAGTTTTGAAAAGAAACTTCTCCATATTAGGTTTGAGAACTGTATCCGTAAACTAGGACAGGAGAGTGATGATAAACTCATAATCGAGGTTTCCAGGAGCTGAACATCGTCCCGATCTCTATGCCATCTCTGAAGTTCCTCCCAGCACATGTGAACCAGGAGAATATTGCAGTCCATAGATCTGGGAAAGTACTCGGAGACTTTCGTTACAAGAGTCAGTTCTTTGGTGTCTGTAAATCCTTCAATATTGGAAGTAAGGTTTAACGAATTGCTTCCAAGCTTCAGCAACCATTTTGATACAAGCTCCGCAACTCTTCCGTTCCCGTTGTCAAATACGTCATGTATTGTGTATTTTAGAATTAGCTCTTCTCCAGCTAATGACAGGACGCATTGATAAATCTTTAGGAGTGAGGAAACCTGATACAACCTTCGGGTCCAATCATCAACATAGCTCAGGGTTGATTTTATTCCTCGTAAACAATGTCTCCAGAGAAATATAAGCGTGTATAACTCTGTGGATATTGGGACCTTGAGAAGAATTCGTTTAGATACGTCCTGGAGAGCGGTTATAGTTCTATCATCGGAACCTTCTCTCAGACCAAGAAGAACTAGGAAGCACTGCTGGATGGAGGACAAGGACTCTATTGTAAAGATAGAATTACGCATGAAGGAAACTAAAATAGTTTCAAGGATCTCACAAGGGGATATTCCACTTTCTAGAAACTTCTCCTTAGCTCCGGGTTTGGAGGAGATCCTGCAAAACAGACGAAGGAGCTGAGGTTGAATCCGAGGAGATAAATCTTTCCTAAGACGAATTGTTGACCTGTCTCCGGACCCTAGCTCACCTTCAATATCAAAACATTGAATAAAGTCGGAGCAGAACATGTTTAAAGTCTCATTACTTGAAACTCCAGGTTTTATCAAGGAGAAAAGAGGAGCAACATCTGTCTCAGACAGAGAGAATGCAATGGCAAGATTCTCAACAGTCCAGTCATCTGATTCAAGTGCTTTTTCATCTTGCTTGTTATCCTCAAATACACAGTACAGACGAATAAGCTGTTTGAGTTTAGTTAATCTACTAATAAAAAGTTTCTGTTCCAAAGACTGAGATTTCTCATTTATAGCCGAGGAGTTTAATAAGAGGATTACAAGCTCTAGGAATTCTGCAGGAGACAGTTTTTCTTCCTCAGGGTTGGATAAGATCTGAAGAATTGCCGAGTTTTTCATCTGGATATTCCTAATCTCATCCATGAGCTTGAGCACCTCCTCCATGTAGTGGTTCGGCTTCTCTTTCACGAGCTCCTGGATCTTGTGCTGAGCATTGATATCCTTCTCTGCTGTACTACTGATGGAGAGAGCATGGAACGGGATGAAGAAGTGGCTGATCCTACCACTAGGTTGGAGAAACGAGGTGAATACCCGAACCGTATCCCGCCTCCGGGGTAGACCGTCATCTAGGCATACTCCGGCAGATCGAAGCAGGGTTCCATGCTTACTCACATGGAACTCCGTCACTTTAACCTTCTGCTCTGGAGACCAAACCTCGATCAGTCCTCGCCGAGGAAGATACAGGATGAGAACTGAAGCAACGTCCTGAAACAAGGTTTTATCATATTCAAATCCAGATTTTCATTTGAATCTCCATTGATGAGTATCAAAGATGTCTTGACTTGTCTTTCTTATGTTTTAGTTTTGTAACCAACCTGTGAAACCTGTGCCTGAGATGGATCAGTAAGTTTCTGTGAGTAGGCTAGAGCCCAACCCATCTGACATCTGAAAAACAAAGATTCTAGATTGTTATCTTTCCTTTTTTATCGATTTTTATTGGTTTAGTTAGTTTACAGCTTGAATATAATAATAATCTTCTTGAAAATATTTAGCCACTTATCAACTTAGAATACACCTAACTACTTTAAGCAAAGGGAAACAACTTAATGTTATACAAACAAAAAGCAAAGCAAAAAATTCTAAGAAGTTTCATTCCTGTCTGTACCTATGATATCCTCTCCAGATCTGAAGTACGGTAGCAGTGTAGTTATCTACTAGGAGGATACGGTTCTGTGAATCCTTTACTGCAGAGTACATCTTATTCGGAGATATAAGAACCTCAGAACCGTCCCGTCCCTTGTCCTATATAGATATCTTAGTCTAGTTTTTTGTAATGCCAGATTTTTCTGGACAACTCCGACTTAATTTGATTTAATTGGGCCCTGAAACTCTGAGACTTACTTTGATTAAATTAGGCCTTGAAACGCAGACTTAATTTTTTTTTTTTAAGGCCTTGAAATTCCGACTCACTTTGATCTAATTAGACTTTGAAACTCCGACTTACTTTGATCCGATTAGCCCTTATGTTAGCTTAGAGTGGTTTTAAGGTCAGGATTATATCAACCTTGACGTCTCAGGCTTCCTTTCACTCTAATGAAGAGTTGAAGAAGTATGAACCTTTCCAGCTTTAATTCTTTGTACATCTCTTGTGTCAGAAAAAAAGTTACTTAAAGCATCGATCCATCATTAAAGCATCATTAAAGCATCATTAAACCATCGATCCATCATGGAGAAATCCAAATATGTTGTGGATTGTTCAATTGTATTTCCCGATGATCTTTTCCCCGAGATTTTACCTTAAGAGAATGTGAGATAGAAAGGTGAACCAGTGGATCAGGAGGAGGTTCCTTTACTTCCTCCGAGCCCTGACCAGACCACAGGTTTCCTAGAGCTCCTACAATATTACAGAGTACAGATACATACTTCCTAGCCCTGACCAGACCACAGGTTTCCTAGAGCTCCTACTATAATACAGAGTACAGATACACACTTCCTAGCCCTGACCAGACCACAGGTTTCCTAGAGCTCCTACAACAATATAGAGTACAGATACACATTTCCTAGCGATGACCAGACCACAGGTTTCCTAGAGCTCCTACAATAATACAGAGTACAGATACACACTTCCTAGCCCTGACCAGACCACAGGTTTCCTAGAGCTCCTACAACAATGTAGAGTACAGATACACATTTCCTAGCCCTGACCAGACCACAGAGCTCCTGCAAAAATATAGAGTACAGATAAACACTTCCTAGCCCTGACCAGACCACAGGTTTCCTAGAGCTCCTTCAATATTACTGAGTACACATGCAAAAATGGATAATCGAAGATTCGGTATTAATTATTTTCTAGGAATTCATTTTAAAAATCAAAATGATTTAAGATCTTCATTTCTTAATTACAAGAAGTAAAATCAGAACGAGCTTAAAGAAATGACATTATTGGTGTTTTGGTACATTTGACATAAATGTAAATTTCGCCATATTTCGAAAATTTCAAGGTTTGAGTGCTCACAACTGGCGGGTGTACCTGAAGCAACCCTGAAGAATCCAGATTTAACAGTGGAAACCATATTTTGAGCTAACGCTCCGGCACTGCCAGGCCCACTGAACAAAAACAGTAATAACAATAACAATAACAATAACAATAACAATAACAATAACAATAACAATAACAATAACAATAACAATAACAATAACAATAACAATAACAATAACAATGTAACAGCAAATACCAATATTATCAATTTATATTAAACTAGTAAAGTTTAGTTTTAATTTGCTTTAAAATTCCGCGGATAAAATATTTTTGTTGTGCTTTCAGACATATTTCTCAGAGCACAACTTTTCAATTTAACTGGCCAGGAACTTCCTCTCGGCTGGCCACGTCAGGTCCCACACAAAATTTGCCCATCAGGACGTGAAACTTTAAATTTTTAACAATAATAAAATAATTATTCCGGTTAAGTTTGGTTCCGTAAAGGCCTAACGTAACCTATCCTAAAGCTGCTAGGTCCGACATGTTGATATTTTGCTCCAATTGGATCCGCATATTTTTGAGGATCCGGATCAGGGATCCTAAGCACTGCTTTAAAGCCTCAGAAAGGGTTTCGTAATTTACGTAAGCAAATTTATCCGGAAGAAATTGGCAAGCTTACTTCCAGTCCAAGATAAAAAGTAAACCTGGTTGCTCTATCATTATACTGTAGGAATGGATCCTGTCCTACAGTTAGAAAATACGGTTTGGTTGTTACAGGTTTATATCGTTCATCCATATTTCCACCTAGAATATAATAAATAGATAATAGATTTATTTGACATGAACTGTCGTTATAATTCTAAATGCCCTTCCAATTTGAGAATGGCAAGCCTGATTCACGAAGGGTACCTTATACCCCTTTATCTGATTAATAATATGGAAAATATCGTTGTTTTTCTAGCTTCAAAATTGTTATAAATTTCCTCCGTTGTTTCTGGAACAAAAATGCGAAGGTACTTTACAGAGAAACCACAATTGAAATTAATCATTATCAACTGTCAACCTCTGACTCTTTAGTAAAAATAAATTCAACCTAAAGTCTGACCGCGTCAACCTTGTTACACCGGATATTCCTATTGAGTGTCTACTTTATTTACCCAATGTCCGGCCGGTACAGTACAAACTGGGACCGGAAAGGTTGACCCGGCTCGGAAATTCAAATGTGCTACGGCTGCCCGTGCATTGGGCTAGTCGGCCAATCTCAGATCATACGTATTATTCTAACATATCTTTACAAACAAGGGATTTCACCGTGGGAACTAACCTTGCATAGTAAGCTGATAGTACTGATTGTAACTGGTATTTGTGAACACAAAGGACTCACAGTCGGCAACCTTCTGATACTTGATTCCTAGTATCTGGGCCTGAAAATGACAAAAACTTTGGAAATATTACATGATAGAATTTTTGGGTTTAGGTTTAAATATTTTCAATTTTTTTTCGCTGACGTTACTTTTAATCGATTTTTTTTTTGGGGGGGGGGGGGAATTTAGAGGAAAGAAAACTTTCAATTATTTTAAAATCATACTTTCGAAAAAAATCATTTTTGAAAATATACCATTTTTTTACTTATGAAAGTGGAAACACTTTAACCTGAAATAATCTTCTTCAATTATAATCTCATCATTACCTTGAGACTGGTTAGATGAACCGTCTCCAGTCCTCTTGCCATTGTGTTTGCTAGTTCTCCGATATTCCTGGAGATAGTCTCCAGTAGATCTCCAGCAGGGATACTAACCAGGACACTCTCATACACAACCAGCAGTTCTTAATATCTATCATTTGTATCCTTTCAACCATAAAGTGATCAAAGCATAAGTATGCTACCTAATGGTAGGTGTGAACATTAAGTAACTTATTGCTAGTTCAATCTTTATAAGCAACAAAGAGAAGGATATTATTTTTTACATTTGACAGTTGTCATCATAACCATGTATAGAAAGCTGAGGAACTGTTATGTTTAAAAAGCTTCGAATGTAAATTTTAAGTGACCCTTGATTAAACTTAATTTGTCTGAGGACAAATGATGGAGTTATTCTTGTTTTCTATCTGAAAACTGATAATTGTCAAATACAAATACAAATACTTGCAGTTTTGTAAAGCGAAGAAAAGGATGGAAATGGACAGAATTTATTCTTTTTATGACAAAAACAACGGAGTCTTCGATAAAGTTATTAAAATAAAAGTTATGCAAACCTTTCATTAGAGGATCACAGTCCCTTCCATTGGGGTTCTGTAACATTGCATACCTTGCATTGTCTGTGTGAAGAGAATATTGGAGCAATGTTTCCCCTCCGGCATTGACTGGAACTTAATGTGTCGGACTGGGGCAGGATGAAAACATTTCTGGACAATCAGCTGACCAGACTCAGTGTACACACGAACTGTATATAAAATATTTTAAATAAAGCAGCTGACCATACGAACTGTACATAAAATATTCAAAATAAATCAGCTAAAAAGACTCAGTGTACACAAGAACCGTACATAAAATAATTAAAATAAATCAGCTGACCAGACGAACTGTACATAAAATATTAAAAATAAATCAGCTGAAAAGACTCAGTGTACACAAGAACTGTACATAAAATATTAAAAATAAATCAGATGAAAAGACTCAGTGGACACACGAACTGTACATCAATATTTAAAATAAATCAGCTGACCAGACGAACTGTACATGAAATATTTAAAATAAATCAGCTGACGAGACTAAGTGTAAACTCGAACTGTACATAAATATATAAAATAAATCCGCTGACCAGATTCAGTGTACACACGAACTGTACATAAAATATTTGAAATAAATAAGCTTACCAGACTCAGTGTACACACGAACTGTACATAATATTCAAAATAAAACAGGTAATTAAAAGGTATGCAAGGCTTAAACAATAAACACAGGTTTTTATAAAAGTTTTACGTCCAAATCAAAACTGCATAAAGACTAACCTATCCCTGAGTTGAATCCTAGTACTGTAGAGTGAGCTATACTCTGAACCCTACCCTGAGAATAAACTGGGAACACAACCACGCTTGTTATCTCTTCGTCCTCCTACAAATACGTAAATCGGAGAACTCGAAGAAAAAATGATTTCTTAAAAAAATATATTCGAAATCAGATGTATCCCCACACTAAATGTTCCGAAATAAATGCATCCAACCAAAAAATATATGAAATCTCAAAACGAATCCTATAACAAAATATAAACCACCAAAAATGTTTTCAACCAAAAAAACGCGCATTTAATCAATTGTTTAAGTTATATAAACGAATAATCGAGTTTTTAATACTAGGACTTAAAAATATGTTTGAAGTTTAAAATATCATTTTTTAAACGTTTCGCCAACAAAATTGTTACGATATGATAAAAAAAACCTAGCCTGAGTTTGGTTATGTCTGATATTAAACCCTAACCTGGAGAACTGAAACCGTATCTCTATGGACCTGCTTTAGTTCAAGTTTATCTCCGCTCCAGTTATATCTAAAAAACTCCAGTTTCATTTAAATTTAATTGCTTCCGGATGGTGTCGTTTCAATAAAAAAAAAAGTGTATTTAAACATTAAACAAGATTTCTATATTGAAACAAATCAGTTTACTTCTTTTCTTATTTCTATCCTGTCCTGCTACTATTCCCCTGGTTTAAATATGGTTCGTCTAATTCTTAACACTGCTTTTAAACTATAAAAAGTATGGTTGCGAAACAACGTCCCATCTTATTTGTCAAATACAGTCTATTCTTAACTTCACTTTAGTCCCGGTTGTATCAACACAAATCAAAATCTAAGTTTAAGGGATGTTACTAATACAAGAATGAAGTGATATTACAATTGTTCTATTTGGTTCATTTGATTAAGCAGTGGCCGAATTTAAAGAATTTGAGCGGCGGTTTAAATTTAAGCCGCGGTTTAAATATGATTGTCTCCACTTAAAAATGTATCAAATGTTTCAAGATTTAAACCGCGGCTCAAATTCTTTAAATTCCATCTCGGGTTTACCTGATTAAAATAAAGTTTTGCCCTTTAGCTAGGCACATAATATCTCCCTGCATGGCATAAACAGATTATCAGAAGATCAATTTATTTAAATCAAATAAAGAAGATAAAAAAAAAAATATTGGGTCGACAAAAAATGACGATAGTATTTATTCAAATTGAACAAGTAATTTTACACTTCCTCTTTCTGGTAATAATTGCCTTCAAGGGAACGTAAACGTAATTTCAAGTAACTTACTGTAAACGTAATTTCAAGTAACTCACTGTAAACGTAATTTCAAGTAACTTACTGTAAACGTAATTTCAAGTAACTCACTGTAAACGTAATTTCAAGTAACTCACTGTAAACGTAATTTCAAGTAACTTACTGTAAACGTAATTTCAAGTAACTCACTGTAAACGTAATTTCAAGT